GTAAACAGAATAGGATTCTGGGCGGAAGAGGAAGTGAGGTCAGACTCTGCTCTGCTTCCGGAGAGACCCGACAGCTCTGCTGGAGCAGAGACGCCATGCTCAACTCTCCCAGGATGGACAGAGGCTAGAATCTTCCCGGTAAGCGCACCTTGGGGTGCTTACACGCATTATTAGAAATGGGCTAGTCCAGGTGCAAGAATTAGCCTGTAAGGGCTAGAGTTCATGGGCCAAGCAGTTCTTAAATGAATACAGTTTGTGTGTTGTTATTTCGGGCATGAGCTAGCCAAGCGGCCAGGGTGTTGGGGACGCAGCCCCGCCGCTCCTATTTCAACAGGGAGAAGACTGGGTCTTGGTCCCAAAGGCAACTGGATATAACAGGACTTGGACTGCTTGGTTGGTTTACTTGTTTTGAACATGAGATCTGATGATTTTTCTGGTTTGTTTAGGAGTGTGTGTGTGTGTGTGTGTGTGTGTGTGTGTGTGTTGTGCTACTGAAGACTGAACTTGGACCTCACTAGACAAGAGCTCTGTCTCTAAGCTATGTCCAGCTCTGAGAACTGACTGAATTAGACTAACATAGCATTGAGGGGATGCTATGACAAGGGAAAGATACTGAAAATACAGGAAAGAAATGCTATAATTAATGTAGGGAGGTTTGAGATGCCGAGGCAGTGTACAGACTTGGGAGACTTTACTGGGAGCAAGTGGGAGCCCTCATCCTTCAGATATCATCAAGCCTCATCCCTGACCCTGGTTCATGACCATGGGACCTGCAAATGGCTCAGCAGAGTCTATGTGTGGGGTACCCTATACTTGTGTAGGGTCTATCCTGACCAGTGCATGGCAGGAGTCCTGGGTGCCAGGGAACTGTTAGCTGATGGCAGTGAGATTTGGATGAAGCCCAACCAGAGGAGTAACAGCCAATGAAAGTTCTAGGAACAGGGAAATCCACGGCTCAGAATTTGAGGAGTAAAGAGATGAGACAGAGAGAGGTCCCCATGTCACCCAGATAAGACGGATCTAGTCTGTCACCTTCACACTCTGCCCTGCTCCTCTGCCCTTTGAGCTCACCATCCTCTGGAAGTTTTCAGAAAGAAAGCGGACTCTCCAATCACCCACAAGATGGAAATTTTCAACACTGGAACACAGCCAGGCAGGCACAGTGAGACAGGCTTGTAATCTCAGGACCCCTGAGGCTATGGCAGGAGAATTATGAGTTTGTGGTCAGCCTGGACTCTGCGCAATGCTTTTAGAGATGTCCTGACTCTTCCCAGGAATCAGGCAGCTTCCGGCAAGTATACCAATCAAGTGACAGCTGCCCAGAGTGCCACTGTAACCCACTCAGATGGAGTGCCCAGAGGGGACACCAGTGTCTGTCTGGTTGACTGGCAATCAGTTAATGTTTCATGAATGTTCCAATAGTTAACTCTTAAATGAATGGCAGAGGCTTTGTCTGTGATGTCTGCTGCATCCCTGCAGCTCAATGGCCTCCTTCCGTGACAGTCTCAGCCTCACAGAGGTAAGCAGCACCACTCGGGTTACCTAGGAAATGGCCTCCTTTGGCCGGTCACCTCTGTGGACCATCCTCTCTGGTACTGGTGTGGGGAGAGTGTTTATTCCAACAACGAGAGGAGAAAGACCACTGACCCAATTCATTGTGGCCAAATTAATTAAAACAAGCAATTAATTACAGCAAGCTTTTTTTGTGTGTGTGTGCATGGGCTGCCACCCCCTAAGGTGGGGTTCCAGAGTTTAGCCTCAGATGTGAGGAAGACAAGGCTTTTGTAGCTCAGGAGTAAGGGGTTTCCAAATGGGGGTCTGGCAGGCAAAACAGGCGGGGTCAAAGGACCAGAACATAAATATAGCAAGCTATTACTTCCTGAAACAAAGACTTGGCTGCGAGGTGGGCATCACAAGGGAGTCATAACAGCTGGGAGGCACAGATGGTCACAACAACCTTTCGAAACAAAGGTAGGGTTGCAAGATGGTTATAAGCAACTTTTTAAAAGAAAAATATGATTGGTACTCCTGGAAGGGGCAGAACAGAACCATTTATAGTTAAGGTTGCAGGAGTAGGGTGTTGTCCAACCCTTGGGAAGCAGGTTTAGTCTTAAAGAGGAATGACTGAGTTTGTCTTTACAATATGATGGCTCCCAAGCCCAAGATGGAGGCAGGCTGGTTCTTCAGAAGAACCTCTCTCAGTTCTTTCCTTAGTTTCCGTCGGTTTTCCTCAGTTCTGTTTAGTACTACTGTTGTGGTGTGAATAGTCAGGGCAGGGACCCGACCGTCTCTAACGATTCATACACGGAAAACCTAACCAATCCTTCTCGAACATCGTTTCTCAGTAGGGCAGGAAAAGGGTTGAGTGGAAACCAGAAGCACCCTTGGGCACCAGTCCAGCTGGCTCCAAAAGGCAGGGGCAGAAGCATTGTGTGATGCCAGGGCACAGCCACGTCTGGAGACTGACTAGAGAGAGATGGGAGGGGCCATGACAGCAGCTTCCTTTCACAAGCCCAAATCTCCACGCTGCTGTGAGTTTGGCCAAAGGGCCCCCATGGAAACCTCTGGAAGCTACCAGTTTTCCTTTGATGTTGGCAGCCTCCACTTTTATAATCTCTGAATTTCAATAAAGCTGCCCCTCTCTACTTCCACAGCTGACAGGCGCCCCAGATTGCGGAATACACCTCCCACGGATGGCCAGTGGGTCTCCTTCAGTACGTGCCAAACACAGCAGGGGACCCTTTATTATTTAAATTTCATGATTGTGGGGCAGAATGATAAGTAGGGTACATAGAACACTGAATTTTATTCCATCAGAATTGAAACCGGAGCCTGCAACTTTAGCAGAATTAAATTTTGAAAGGAGCTCTTTCCTTTTCCAAACCCAGTGAGAATTTTGTTTTTTGTTTTGTTTTGCTTTTCGAGACAGAGTTTCTCTGTGTAACATCCCTAACTGTCCTGGAACTAGTTCTTGTAGACCAGGCTGGCCTCGAACTCACAGAAATACACCTGCCTCTGCCTCCTGAGTGCTGGGATTAAAGGCGTGCGCCACTACCAGCTGGCTGAGAATTTATTTTTTTAAAAAGATAATTGAGCACCAAGTAATACCAGACAGGAAAGAGACAGCGGACAGAGAGGAAGGAGTGGAGTTCTGTTGTTATTTTCTTTCTATATCCCGTTTACGCTTGCAGGAAGAAGCCACCATGGAAGGGAATCAACAGTTGGAGTCACTCACGCTCAGCCTCTCTCCTCCACTTCTTTTGCTCCTCTCTCCCACACCCACATTCCCACCCCCAACCAGCATTCTCAGGTCACACTCTAGATGGGCCTCCTTGATCAAGAAGGTTCCAGAAGACACATCTGTGAGAGCCTCCAAGCGTGCTCCATGACATCACTGTCCCTGGGGAGGACCAGCTGCCCTGCTTTTGTGTGCTTGTTCCGTCTCCAGGGTCATCTTGACTAAGGAGCTTAAAACTCAGGAAAGGCAACTGTCCTCTCCAGCCACAGGCTTGGAAGCTTGGTGTGCGCTGAGTCAGGCAGGCTGGGTGCCCACAAGCAAATGCTGGCCTGGTAATAAATGCACCTCTGTGAACAAGGAGGGCCAGCAGGGAAGTCTCCAAAAAACGTTTGTGGGATGCAATCTCTGTGCAAGGCAGCAACTACTCGAAGGCACAGACAGGTCTGGTGTTTCCCCGGAACCAGATAAAAGCGTCTTTACATAATGATCCTAATACCAGTGGCTCCATTGTCTTTAGCATTCAGTGAGACAAGGAGGAAATACCCAGCACACAGTAGATGATGTTCATGACTGCAAGTCCAGCCACAGCCTATTAAAACCCGTTGTTCTCCTCACTCCCTCAAATGCCCTCCTGGTCTGCTGGTGGCATCATTCTCGTGACCACTTAGCCAACACCTCTCCCCAGCCCTTCAGCAGGTCCTAATAAACCGTGGCAATTTCAGTCTGCTTGCTCTTTAAGTTTGTGAAGTTCTCAGCGTCCAACTTATTCGTTAGCCTGCAGCGTTCAGCGGGGATGCTGTTTCTCTGTTACAGGGTGAGCCGTTTCAGCTCTTCATATGTGTGTGCTCTGTATTTCGGTAGTAGGTTTCTACAGGCTTTTCCGAAAGGCCTTCAAGAGTTGTTCGTGTCTACCTGTACTCCCTCCTCTACCCTGCCCTTCTGCCTCTCACCCCATTTAAACCTTGACCGGCTCTCTGCCTTCACCATTTACACCATTGCATCCAATCTCCACGCCCAAGGATGCACAGGCGGCACAAATTGGCTTAAACAGGCGAGAGGATGCAGCGTTGGGGGGAGGGGAGGGGGAATTTGGGAGGAGTCTGGGGAGGGGATGACTGTAAACACAATGCAGGGTACAAGAGTCTCAAAAATTTGTGATGTTCCAATTTGACCTTGAGACTTTCCGTAGTTTTGCTAGCCGACGTGTGAAGAGTGTGTCTCTATTTTTCTGGAAAGTACGCTCTTAAACTTGAATGCATGTTTGTTAGATCCAAATGTCCGGGATTGTTTTGTGCTCCCTGTTCCCTGGCAGGTAGGTACCTTGTAAGTGGTTGCTGGACCTCCTTTCTGCACCCCTCTGCTCGACTAGGGATGGGCTCAACACTTGTTCACGTGTTACGCCCTCTGCCCAAGACGGCCATTTTTAGTTTGTCTTCATAAATGGCGTCCGCTATCTGAAGAAGTAGATACCTCCCCAACTCCATGTAATAGTGGAACAATACGCGTGGCTTTCTCTGCATTTACCTCCCTGAAAGAAAAGTTCAAAACGAGTCTTCAGCTCACCCGTAGGACAGCTAGTGTGAGGTTCGGTCGTGGTAACTGACAGTGCTATTCCATAGCGGTGTTCTAAGAATGATCCCGGATGAACCAGCCTCGTGGAGTTCTCACACTAAACCGGACAGGGCCAGCAAGGCCTAGCCGCACTCACATTTGGTCCCTTTCATAGAAGTTTTGTATCCACCCTGTCTCCTCTCTCACGCAGACGTCGTACTGGCTGACGGCAGTATGGTGGTTCCTCTGTGCCCCAAAGGGTACTTTCCTTGTGGGAATCTCACCAAGTGCTTACCCCGAGCCTTTCACTGTGATGGCGTGGACGATTGCGGGAATGGTGCTGACGAGGACAGCTGTGGTGAGTCCCGCCCCCTCCTGTGCGTGTGCCCCCCCCAGAACTGCGGGTCAGTCAGTGAGCGAGGGTAATGAATTGGGAAGCACGACCTAATAACCACTGCCATTGCATTCAGGAGAATGACCTGAACTTTAGGAGATGGAGCTTGCTAAAGTCAAAACGATGGTCCCACAAAAATTGAAATGGCATTCCAAATTTTATTATTTTGCTTCTCAGAACTCAATCTGAAGAGGCTGCCTTGTGGCCAATAGCTTTGCTCAGCTTTAAGAATGTCCATAAGCCACCTTGAGCTCACCTAGAGAATTAATTGATGGTGCAGACAGACGTTGCGTGTCAGCTATGGGTCAGGACCTCCCCATATCACTGAGACAAGGTGAGCTCAAAAGAAATAAGGTGAAAACGAGGCCCGTGAGGTCCTGCAACAACAAGGACAAAGAAAACAATAACACTGTGTTTAGGTGACTGAGCACATCTAGAGGGAACAGCAAAGAAAGAAATAGACAGTAAGGACAGAATCAAGGAAACGTTTTCTTTAATTAAAGTGACTTGAATTGAGAACAAAATGGAAGGAAGGAAGGAAGGAAGGAAGGAAGGAAGGAAGGAAGGAAGGAAGGAAGGAAGGAAGGAAGATATTCTGGAGCCATAGGAAATAAAAACCCTGGGGCTGACTGAAATAGAGTCAATTAGTGTCAGTCCTTCGAAAGCAATGAGCAATGTGACTTGAGCAGAGTCTCGCCAAGGGTGAAGAGGTTCCAAAGTTTATTACTCGGGCTCTCCCAAGCCAAGTGTTGAGATCACACATCTTGCCTGATCTAATCTGCCTGTTTGCAGAGAGGTTGATATGTGATTAGTCACAGTCAACGCGGTAACTCAGACCTTCCTAGTCTGCCACATAAGGCCGGCTTCCTTCAGCACTGGTCCACTAGCATCTGAGTCGGGCCGCCATGTCCTGGCGGGCCAAACAGAATTCTGCAGCTTGCTGTCTTGCCCCGGGTACTCGCGCACCCTTCCCTTGGATGGGAAACAACCGAGCCTCCCAAAGAGCTCTCCTGCCTGTTCTCCCTTCACGCTCAGTTCAAAGGGGTGGGAGGCAGCTCAGGGAGTGGGGAATGCTTAGCAGGCAGGAGGTTCAGTCCAGAGCAATGAAAACGAAAAAGGGCTCAGTTCAGGTCCTCCCCCTCGAAGACAGCTGCACAGGCATCCTCGTGGGTAAATCACCCGCCACGTTGAGTCACGTGTGTTACTTTTTCACCTCCTTGCAGATATGAGCACCCTAAGAAAAAGGCCTGGCTCGCCTTCGTTGTGTTGCCCCCAGAATGTAGGCTCGTAGAGTACACAGGAAACACTCAGTCTGGGCTCAGTTCTCTGATTGTCAGTGAACAAGCTACTCAGAGAGATTTCCTCTTTGCTACCTGGGAATCAAGGATCAATCTCGCTTCTCTACCCCCACGAGGATGCTCTGAACCCAGACTGAACAAGGCACATGGAACAGCTTATAATACAATTAAAGGTATCACGATAGCACCATTCAGATATGAGAAAAGAATAGAGATAAATTTAGATATCAGGGATCATGAACTTACTTTTTGATTTGTGTGGACTTCGATGCCATTACAATGCAAATCTTACCATTTCTATAGCACATACCCAAATTAAGGAAGTTTCAAAATAGGCACGTTTTTGCAAATATGTATGCATATATTATTCATATGCAATTTTGATAATACAAAAGGAATATCAAACAAGAATATTACAATAGCAAATGACAGACTTAAGGCATGACAAACCAAGGCACTGTTATTTCTCTTGATAGGATTTAACACTCTTTATTAAAAGGTATTTTGCTTTTGGCTTTATTTAAAAATAAAATCTGGCAAGGAGTGAGATAGTCCATGCTGAGCATGTGTGAGGCCCTGGGTTCAATCCCAAGAAACAAAGCAAAACAAGGAAGGTCCAATTTTTATCAGACCTCAGTACCCCATTACACAAGGCCCTCCCATCTCCACAGGGCAGAGTGAAATCCCCAAAACTCAAGTCAAAGCCTCAAAATGTCAGTGTTAGAAATAGGTGCTACTTACCAAGACCATTGTAATTACAATAAAAACAATAATTGCATTATATATATATTATATATGTATGTCTGAAATCCTTGTGAGTAGAGGAAGCAGGAAATGCCCGGGAGTATGTGTTTAACTCTCTCTTGCTATTTTTAGATTAAAAAAAATCATTCTGTTGCTTGAGCAGGATTTCTCTTTTTTTCTTAAATTTGATTTCATGAAATTTTTATACTTTTGTTTTTGTGGTATGATATCTGATTTCTAGACTAACCGATGCGTATCAACCACCCCACAGGTGACACTAGTGGATGGGCGACCATATTTGGCACAGTCCATGGAAATGTCAGTAAAGTGACATTAACACAGGAGTGCTGTAAGTGGTGTTGGTTCAAAGACGGTATCAGCTTGCAGAAAACGTGATGGTGGCGGTGGATTTATCCGGGAACAGCAGCCCCCTCTTATCTAAGGTTTTGCTGTCAATAGTGTCAACAAACTGCAGCCAACTGTGGTCCCAAAACAGTAAATGAACATTTTGAGGAGCTGGGACTCCAGCTTACAATAACGATGATGATGCCCTGAGACAGGCAGACCACATTCACGTAACACTGGTCATGGGATATCACTATGATTTTTCTATTGAGTTATTGGTTACTCTCAATCTCACTGACCTGATGTATAAACTGAACTTTTTCAGAGGCATGTAGGCACAGGGAAATCAGTAAATACAGGATTTGGTGTTATCTCTGGCTTTTATCATCCACTGGGCGTCTTGGAATGTGTCCCCTGTGGATAAGGGGGGACTGCTGTCGAGGTTCAGTTCCCTTCGGGTCAATGTGTTTCACTGGTAATGATTGTCCTATCTGCCTGTGGGCCTGAGGAAAAGATGGACGAACTGGTCCATCTCCCTGCATGCTCATTTCTGGTGTCACGTTATCAATAATGGTGACAGACAATGAGGTTCTATTTCTTTTGATTTTTTTTTTCAACGAAGAGCTCATACTATGTTCCAGACATAGGAAGTACAATTCTGATTAAGGTGTGTCCCTAACTCACAAATAGCTCGCATGTAGCCGGAAAGACATCCTCACTAAGCCATGGTGATTCCAGGCTGCACAGGGAGGCATGGAAGACCACGGTAAGAAATGGGGCTCTGCCAGGAATGGGGATATGCTCCCAAGCAGTGCACTGAGGCGGCTGTGAAGTCCCCGGATGGAGATAGAAGAGGTAAGGGGATCCGCAGGTAAACGAGGCCAGTAAGATCTTCGGGTAGCTATCCAATGCAGGTTGCACAATGCCTTTACGTAAGTGTGCTGAGATTCTTCAAGTGTGAGCTGGGAGGCAGAGCTGAACTCAGGAGGTTGCAGCGTGCCCCTAGAGGATTTGGGGCACGCACTGTGGAGGTTGACTTCTGTATTACTAGTAGAGTTGGATGTGTGTGTGTATGTGTGTGTACATATGTAGATGAATATATAGTTTGATATATGTTAGTATACATAAATTTCATTTATGTGTGTAATGTACATATATTAAATACTATACTGACATTGGGCCTGGTTATGCACACCTTTAATCCCAGCACTCTGAGAAGCAGAAAAAGGCAATTTCTGTGAGTTCCAGGCTAACCAGGAATACATAGTGGAACCCTGTCTGAAAAACAAGCAAAGAAATAAACAACAACAACAAAACTCTACACTTAGAGTTCACATACAATTGGGGCTCTCACCTAGGGGTTACACAGCTGTGTATTCAACCAACTACAAATCAGAAATAGTTTGATTAAAAATACTATACATGTGCTGAATTTGTACAGAAAATCTAGTTGCTAATATTAATGTCTATATTCTATATTGTTATATACTGTTACAATCATATAATAATTTAAAAATATGTATATAGTATAACAACTATATCATCAGCATTCATATTATAATCAGTGTCCTGAAGCCTCTGGAGATACACTAACGGATGCAGGGGTTTGTATGCAACTCCTACACAAACACTGCACCACTTTTAGAAGGGACTTTAGCATTTGTAAATTTAGGTATCCACGAGGGCCCTGAAAACAACCCCCATACCAGAGAAAGACTGCAGGATGCACTGCAGAATACCAGTTCATAACTCGTATACTTGTCCATGCATACATAATCTATAGAAATGAAATTAAACCAGATACAGTGGCTTGTACTTGTAACCCCAGCAATCGGGAATCTGAGGCAGGAGGATCCTGAGTTCAGAGCAAACCTGGGCTGTGTAGTGAGTCCACATATGAAAAGATAAAAGAAAAATTGGGGCTGAGGAGATGGTTAAGAGCACTGGCTGTTGTTGCAGAGGGCCTGGGTTTAGTTCCTAGCACGCACATGGAGGTTCACAACCACCCGCGTGTAACTAACGTGTTCTGATGCCCTCTTCTGGCCCCCATAGAACTGCACACATGTGGGGCACATGCATTCACACACATTAAATAAAATAAAATAAAAAATATTTGATAACTGAAGGTAAAAAATCACCTAGGTAGTTTAGCTTAAAGGCCAGTTTCTTTCCTAAATGTTGTTGGGACTAGGAGCCTTTGGCAGCTTCACCCTTGCCAGAGGCCAAAAATACAAAAGTGTTGGGGAGCTCTGATCCCTAATCTGGCTCTTAGAGGATTCCAGGGTTCCCAGAGAGACAGAATATAGCCATGAAGGCCTCTTAAGAGAAAACTCCTTCTGGTCCAGAGAATGGAGTGTCTGGCCTAGTGCAGCCCTCACAACCCAGTGGACTAGGGCAATCTCCTGGCCAAGCGACCAGCCACAGGGAGGTAGCTGTCTCATATTGCTGATGGAACAGATGCAGATCTTCACCCTTGGTCCTAGGGGCCTAACTCAGGCTTCTTGAGCCAGCTGTTACTACACACAGGTTCTCCGCACTGTAGAAGTTTCTTGTTCCAAGGCAGGATAAAAGAAAGGAGACTACAGTTCACTGACTTTAAAAAAAAAAATAGTGTTTAAATGAATAGGAGTCTTTTCTACCAAATATTAGGCAAACTGTTTTTGACAGGAAATTCAAATTTTTTTATCCATCCCACCAAGTTATGAAAAAGTATTAATTCCCCCACCCCTCCTCACACACACCCTGAAAAACCTTTGTTTACACAAAAGCCCGTCAACATTCTTGAGCTAAAGTAGCTGACCCCTTCCCCACTTCATTTTCTTTGTGCCAATTCTTTAAAAACTAGCCAATCATGAAAGACCATGAGGTCAAGAGCCCAGGCCATGGAGAAAACCACTGTCACCTAAGCGGGGAGTAAAAGCCAGTGCACCTCCTGCCCTGTGCGCTTGGCTTGCTCTTCTTAGTGAACTTGTTCTTCCTCATGCACCGGCTTACCCAGACTAAAGTTTTGCCTTGAGACACTTTTTTAAAGTTCTCCCTGCTTGAAAAACAACAACAACACAGAAAAAAAAATCTAATTTAGAAATGACAAGATTAGTAAGAAACATAACTGAAAATTCTTACGGTCTTTCTAGTATATCTCGTTTGGGAGCTCGCTTCACACACAGTGGGAAATCACCAGTTATGACTTTTCTGTGTGTTTGACTGGGCTGGGTCCTTGTTTGTGTGCTTTAGTTTTTAACCCTAAAGAGAGGAAGCTCAGGATCAGGACACGATGTTTAAAAAGGGCCCCTTCAGATGCAGAGCGGGGGAGAAAAGAAAGTCTTCTCTGGGACTCCATGTCTGGCTGCGACTGTCTGAATTCTTAGACGGGTGGAACAGGCGGCTCCTGGTAGTTAGGTCTTGAAGGCTGAGCAGGGACACTAGAGAGTCTTGCCGAGTACAAGACAGATCCACAACCAAGAGGGATCTATGGCCAAAAAATCCCTGGACCAGCTGAGCAGGAAGAACAAAGATGATGCCAAGTATCACAACATCAAGTGCAGACAGACAGGGGCGATGACTCTGAGCCTAGGAAATGTCTCGGGAAGACTGAGGAGGAAGGAGATGAGGGCCTTCCAGTACCATCCACAGAAGAGGGTGGGGCATGACTGCCTTGCAAGACGGGGAGGGTGGAGAAGGGTCCACATTTCTGCCTTATTAAAGATTTATTTATTTTTATTTTTTAATGTGTGTATTTTGCCTGCACGCATGTACATGTACTGCATGCATGCTTGGTGCCCGAGGAGGCCAGAAGAAGGCATCAGATCCCCTATTTCTACAAATGGTCGTGAGCTGCCATGTGGGTGTTGGGAACTGAACCCAGGACTTCTGCAAGAGCAGCCAGTGCTCATAACCACTGAGCCATTGCTGCCTGAACCATCAGCCCCATCATGTCCCTGCTTTAAGTGGCATGCCCAGTTTGACCACATGAAATCCTTTTATTGCTAAGTGCCTTCACTCTAGCAATACAGCCATAATAGTCTTGATGTCAATAAACATTTACCAAAGATATTAACATTATCTCTATTGGATTGAGCCAATTATCATGCAGACCACATAATATCTTCCAAAAACATTACGTGCTGAGAACACCTCTCGCATGAACTAGGGACCCAGGGATAACTATGGACTCTTTATTGCCAAAATGCAACTAAATTCACTTTAACTGTGATCCAAAAAAAGGATGGGCAATTATAAAGAATTTATACTGACAGTTCAACACATAATAGTAAGAAGCTGGGTCTACACCGTGTCACAGGTATTGAATACCATCACTCAGCAGGTCAAGGCAGAAGGTAAGGTACTAGCAAGACCCTGTGTCAAAACAGCTCACTAATCAATTACAATAATAATATAAATAAAATTAACTTTCACTTTCTTAACTGCATCAAATCAAATATCCATAGGGTCAGTGGAGAAATTATAGATTCCATTAAAATCCTCCCCATCTTTCTCTGCTCCTCTACCGCATTTCCCAAGGGCCATACGGACCAAAGTAACATCAGTAAGCATTCACTTAGCAACGGCTTCAGGCTCCTGAATTGAGTTGGTCCAGCCATCGCCATGGAGATTTACTTGAACAAACGATGCTTTTCATTGAACTGACCAGAAATTCATCTTGTTTCAGTGCATGGTCTGATTTTATTTGTTTACCACTGTAGTTCCCTCCTGTTCTATGAGATGTTAAATGTCTTTGAGATGACTATGGAAAGAAGCTAGAGATGAGAGGAACACCCCATTGGTCTATCCTTGATTTGGAGAGAATCTTTGTTTTTAATGAAGGGCTCACGGAGTCCATTAATAGATATAAAGTGTTAGGCAGTTGAATAAGTAGTTGTCATAAGCAAATGTGGTTGGCTCTGTTTACTTGTTTGCTTGGTTGGCTGGCTTTGGCTTTGGGTTTTTTTTTTTTCTGGTACAATTTTTTGTCTCTTCTCCCTAGTTCTCAGCCAGTATCCGCCACACTGTTCCTGCAGAGAGAACGAACTGGAATGCATGAACACTGAGTTAAAAGCTGTGCCAAAGGTTTCTAGCAATGTGACATTACTGTGAGTATGAGCCATAGATTTGTAGCGAAACTTTCAGCAAAACCACAGAAAACTCTGTAGTTCCAGAGTAATAAGTTATTAATAGTAAAATAAGCAAATACTTGAAAGTACTTTTAAAAAGATTTATTTATTTGTATTTTATGTATGAGTGGTGCCTGCATGGATGTATATGCACCACATGTGTGCAATACCCACAGTCGTCAGAAGAGGGTGCCAGAGAGCCTGAAACTAGAGTTACAGATGGTTGTGAGCTACTCTGTGGATGCTGGGAATCAAACCTGGGTCCTCTGCAAGAGCAGCCAGTGTTCTTCAGCACTGAACCATCTATCCAGCCTCTGGAACTCCTAAAACTAGTCACCAATGAGGCTGACATGCTTCCTCTGTAGGAAAATACAATTTAAATATGATCTCCTAGATGAGCCTGGCTAATGTTCACCTCATGATGACTGTCTGTGGCCTGGAGTGCTTGTCCTATGGCCTGAATGTGTCCTGTGACTGCTGCAGCCCTGCTGCTGAAGAAAGGGGCAGGCTTACGTCATCTCGTTTTTAAAGCTGTCAATCATTCTAAGACCACAAGGATAGGATGATCCACAAAGCTAGCTGTTCTACATCGTGCCAACTTTCCTGAATTTTGCAGAAAGAGATTTAAGGCCAGGAATCTGTAGTCATGCCCTCATCAGGCGTGGCCAAGGTGGTGGGGATCTGGGGTGGTCACACCCTCATGGGGCATGGCTGAGGTAGTTGGGATCGGCGTGGTCACGCCCCCATTGGTGGTTGGTATCTTCCGTAGTCTTTGCTTTTAGTTGTTGTTATGTTTTGTTTATTTCTCCAGAGACTAAGAGAGACAGTGAAATCATCACACCCTACGTAGTTTATTATAGCAACTGGCTAAGGAGAGAGGATGGAGATCAAGAAAAGTTTGGGCTAGCCTGGGGTATGTAATGGGACACATGAAAGCTTGTCCCAAAGTAACAAGGAAAACTGTTTTGACTTTTATTTCAGATCTCTTAAGAAAAACAAAATCCACAGTCTTCCAGTCAAAGTTTTCAGCAAGTACACAGAACTCAAAAAGATGTAAGTAACTATAAGTAGATTCGTGAGGAAATCATGGTGGTGTTTTAAGGTGCTTTTGATCTGAGAACAAAACTGAATAATTTTTATATGTGTTGCGAACTCTGGTTCTAAATATAAGATTAGAAAGTAAAGCCCTGGAAAGAAGATTATGTTTCCACTTCATAGTTTAGAGTATGATCTCACTAAACCATTCTCAGAGCGTTGACTTGAACTTGAGATAAAATATTTCAGTATGTAGTTTCAAGTCTTTCCTTAATATTATTTGCAGATGGCATTGCAAGATCAGAGGGGCTGGATGTGCTTTCTATTTGGAAAAAAGTAAAAATCACGGACAAGAATAGTCATTGTGTTTAAAATGTAGTGACAGGGTACAGCCTGACTCCCAGGACAATGGGAGGAAAACTGATGTTGATGATGATGATCTTAGTATATCTGGGGAGACAATACACCCTAGTTATAAAATATAAATAGAATCCAGCTAGAAAGAAAGAGACCACAAGCTTCCAGAATTCAAGAGAAACAATAACTGAGACCTGGTCATGAGAGATGATCTCTGTGGAAGCCTGGTGGTGAACCCTCGACCTCCACCCCGACACCTCAAGTTTCATGAACTGTCACTTTATAGGACTCAAATGCCTTTGCTTTGCTCCTTCCTCACAAAGCAATCTCATAATCATCACCCTTTTTTTGGCTTTTTGAGACAGGGTTTCTCTGGGTAACAGCCTTAGCTGTCCTGGAACTCACTCTGTAGTCCAGGCTGGCCTTGAACTCACAGAGATCCACCTGCCTCTGACTCCCGAGTGCTGGGATTAAAGGTGTGTGCCACCACCCAGCATCACTTTACTTTTTAAAAAGATTTTATTTGTTCGAGGCCAGCCTGGTCTACAAGAGCTAGTTCCAGGACAGGCTCCAAAGCTACAGAGAAACCCTGTCTCGAAAAAAAAAAGATTTTATTTATTTTTTATTTTGTGTGTATGAGTCTTTGAACTGCCTGCATCTATGTGCACCAAATGCATGCAGTGCCCACAGAGGCCAGAAGAGGGCAACAGACCTCTTGTAACTGGAGTTACAAATGGTTGTGAACCACACTTAGGTGCTGGGAACTGAACATGAGTCCTCTGGAAGGGTAGCTAGAACTCTTAACCACTGCATCATCTCTCCAGCCCCTCACTAATCTACTTTATATATTCATACTAAAGTATTTAAAGAGTCATATTGGATAGAGAATAAAAATACTTACACTGGTCAACACGATGCCTTCTATTGATATTGTGGGTAGAAAACTCACAGATTCTCAGTACAGTGGCCATTTGCAGCTTGGGTGATTGTCTCCCAGTCCTTCCGAGCAGAGTTCCTCTGGGTCTCTAGAGAGGCTACACCTGCCAAGAGGACCAATAATCAGTCTAACAATATCAGCAAAAGAACGCGGCACATGCTAGATCCTTGGCAGAAATGTTTTTATGTTTTATCCTTCAACACCTAGCGTAAGAGAGAAGTCTCTGGAAACACTATCAGTGATTCCATGTTCATGAAATTAAAGACAGGTACCCTCAGACAAGAAGCAGACCCCTGGAGGAAGCTACCTCATAGAACTGTGGGTGGGTGGACACTATCATTGTACCGGCTCTGGTCATCAGCTACGAAGTCCTACCCACAGTCAGCACCTATCTGCTCCGCCCTAGAGTGTCTGATCAGATTGCCATCGTCACACTGCCATAGCTACACATTAGCCCTAGGCTTCGAGGGTCCTCTAGGGAGGAAACCAGAGCCACAAAGCTTCTATGTCTTAGGAATTCTTAAAGTCACAAGCTCCTTCCATCAATCAATGCTGTGCTTGTGCCTGCATGCATGATATCCATCAGAGAAGCAATTTAACGGCGTCACAGAAAGAATGGCAAGAGTTTTGTTTGACAACCTCTATTCAAATAAAGAGTCAACTTTCAGTCACTTATACAAAACACCCGAGACAATCAGTTTATAAAGAGGGACGGTTTCATTTGATCCCAGCGTGGGAGGTCTCAGAGCAGGACAGATAGGCCCTGTCCTGGAACCAGGTGGTGAGAAGAAGATGAAGCCTCCTTACAAGGAAACAGATGTGAATGAGGAGGAGAATCTGGGGGCCCACTCTTCTCTTAAAAGGGGAGTGCCCCCAGTAACCTGAGTCCCCACCTCTTAAAGTTTGTGTCCCTCTCAATAGCACCCAGCAAAGAGGTAAGCCTTGAACACTTGAGCCTTCAGGGGACATTTAGGATCCAAATGCTGACAAATTCTATTATCAGGTATCCTAGAAGTTGTAAGAATTTCTAATTAGACCACCTTAGACATGAGCCAGCTGGCGTGTACAAAGGTTAAGGGACTCAGTTAAGACCTAGAGTTAGCGAGTAGGAGCATCACAATCAGAGGCCAGGGCTTCTGATGAGCATGGTGGTACTTAACCATCGCAATGAAAACCTAGGGAGGGAGAGAGATTGGTCAGTATGGCCCAGAGCTTCCGCTGAGACAGTCAGTCTTGTCCCAGGCAGGATTCCATCCTGTGCTTTTTGTCTCCTGCTTGTGGGGACAGATGAGCAGCCAAGGAGGCATGGAGATCATTAACATGTTTAGACAGGAGCCCTAACACCCGGCGTCTCTAGCCAAGTCCTTCCTCACCCGCTGCCCACATCCCTACGTGAGGTAGCTGGTAGCCACTGGAAGGAAGACTATGGAAACAGTTGCATAATTCAGCTCCCAAATTTCCTCAGGGTCCAAAAGGTAGAGACTAACTCTCCTTGCTGATACACACTGTGTCGCCCCCGGGATAGCACAGAACTTCCTGTCCACTGAGTCTCCAATCTGGACCCCTCCAAATCCCCAGCGTAGAGTTGTGGTCATCCTGACCTGGAGGGAAAAACGATTCCTTCATCAAAATTTAATTTTAGTCGCCAGATGCATGAACATTGCTCAACGGATGTAAATTTTCTTTTTACTGTGGATCGATTTCGTTATCCTAATAATCTCTTAAAGCTCCAGCATTTTCTAAAGCCAAAGAAGAAGAAAAAGTAGTTTGAGATGACCTTTCAGAGAAATAAAATATAATTTATGGGGTTGACTCTAATGTTTGATCATCGCTGCCATGGAAACCAACAGCGATCCTCTTCTTCATTGTAACACAAACCTTATAAAAAATTAGGTATTTCTTCTTAACCTGAGTTCCTGTTAAAGGCAATCAGTCACAGGCAATGGAGCATAATTAAAGGTGCCTGCCTGGCTCTAAAGTACACAATGTCGCATTTAAATATAGTTTATGAGCATGTGAGCCATTAAGATATTTATTTGCTTTCGTCTGGTACCTAAGACCCTGGTGTTTCGCTTGAAAAGTCTTTGATAGCTGAAAGAGCCGGGATTTGTGATCCAGGAAGCTACTCTTAGACAAGCTGTTCGGTGTGAGAGACTTTTAATGGACTCGTGTCTCGGTTTGGAATCGAAAGAGGCACCTCTTGCCAACTTGTCATGTTTCCATTCTCGGATTCTCTTAACGGCTCTTCTGGAAACAGAAAGTCGACACCAAAGGAGAGGCCTTAAGTGTGGCAGTCTACGCCTAAGACCTGAGACCTGAGACTCGCAGTCTCTCTGCAGCGACAGCCAACAGCTAAAACTAAGACCAGGGGCTCTCCATTATTTAAGGAACTGGATTCTTAAGTGATGTTGGTGAGAGGGGGACCAGCTGCAGGCAATGAAGGAATAAGACAGCTCTGCAGTTTAAGTGCCTCTCTCCTATGGCTTCTAATGTCAAAGCACCAAGTGGCATTCGCAATTTGCAAGGGCACCCATCTCTTCACGAGGGAGGAAAAGCACGTGTTGCACCCTCGGATTAAAAATCATCTCAAATAAAATGGAACCGCCCTAACTTGAGTAGTGGATTTTATATTGACGAGAAACTTCCGTTGGCCTTTACTAACGTAGTGTGTGCTTTTATCGTTTTCTTTTATATTGCCGTCAAATTCATGATGTCCAGACAATTTCTCTGAGGTTCAGAGACTGCTCTGTGTCCGTCTGTCCTATTCAGAGTGGAGTCATAAGCCCAGAGAGGGATTTCTGCTGCATGTGTCTCCCCGCAGACATTAGTGCAAGAAGCAAGCGGGGGCCTTGGGGTCGGTGGGAGGGGTTAAGATGCAGGAGTTCACACCTCCTTTCAGGTTTCCTTTGCAGTGCTGGGATTGGTGCTTTGTAGGTGGGCACAGGTGAGATTGGAGTGCCCTGGATCAGCACCGGTTTCTGCCGTGGGGGTGCGCATGTGCATGGACGTGTGATTGATTTTGCCCTGAGGATGGCTAATATGCTAGAAGCTGGTCTTGGCTTTTTCATCCTGCTGCCTTGAGGCGCAATGACGTTCAGTTCTTGTCATTTTTGTAACACACTCTTGATGCTAAGGAAAGGCTGGTGGCTTAGCCAGGTTTCTGTTGTGAAGGGACACCATAACCACAGCAACGCTTATAACTGGGGGGGGGGGCAGGGGCACTCGCTTACAGTTTTAGAGGTTTAGTCCATTATCACCGTGGCAGGAGCGTGGCGGCGTGCAGGTAGACATGGTGCTGGTTACATCTTGATCAGAAGGCAACAGGAAGTGTCTGACACTTGAGCGAAGCTTAGGCAAAAGAGACCTCAAAGCCCACCCCCACAGTGACACACTTCCTTCAACAAGGCCATACCTCCCAACAGTACCATTCCTTATGAGCTTCTGGGGGCTAATGGCATTCAAACTGTCGCAGTTGGGAAGCTCTGGCAGGGAATAATTCCAGTGCAGCAGAATAAAATGTAAAGTCTAGTTAGACACCAAATGCATGCATGTTCTGCCCAAGGTTTTCCAGTAGGACACCGTAACAATTAGCACAGCCCTTGGGTAATGTTGTAAGCATTGATTCAGATGGAAATAAGAGACATCAAAACCATAGATAATGTAGGGTTGGCCACGTAGCTCAGTAGTAAAGCACTTGCCTGGCCTGCACAAGGCCCTGGGTTCAATCCTCAGCATGGTATGTGCGTGCGTGCACGCGCGCACACACACATACACTGTACAAAAATAAAACTCACTTACATAGTAGTCACTGCTATAGTATGGCTGTTTCCTGCCGCAGCCGGCCTTAGGGAAGACGGATTCAGGGCTAACTTCCTATTGCATGTTGAGAATCATAAGGAAGTGTGTGTTCTTTACATAGTTTTGTGACTCAGAGGCCTGAAAGCTGACATAGCATGGCAGCCGGAGTTTGGCAGTGGCTGAGACCCTGAGCACCTCGCTGACATATTTGCTTCTTGCTTGATATGGAAAAGACTCAAAGGGCTCCTCCTTTGGGCGTGAGAACACGAGGAAGGTGACCGAAAGGCTCAGCTTGGAGCTGAGACATACAGTAGAGGAACTAGTTGGTCTCCAGGGTCAGCAACTCCTACCAGCTAGAAAGGAGGGCTGCTGGAGGTCCTGACGGAATAAAAGAAGACTAGGTGCAACACACACGCACGCACACACACACACACACACACACACACACGCACACATGCACACATCACTATACGTCAGTGGTCCAAATCACAAATGGCCAACCCTCTTTGCATGCCTTGTCTTGCTTTGTAGCCACTGTGCCTCCCGGCAACATAAGACCAAAATTGCGCGTTATGATCTGATTTTACCCTCTGCCTTCAGGCAGAAAGGGGGGAAAGAGCATTACATAGCCATCTACGCTGAAAGCCTGTATACCGCAAGCCCCTGACCTTCCTGTCTTGTCCCTACAGATACCTCCAGCACAACTGCATCACACACATATCCAGGAAAGCATTTTCTGGATTATATAATCTACAAATACTGTGAGTAATCCCTCATGAGTATCTTATGGGTATCATTCGAAGAAAAGATTACAAAGGCAGACTCAGGGGTGGGAGTGGGGAAATGGAAGGTCTCTTAAATCTACAGTTCTCATATTAAGACTAAGGATGTAGCTCACAGCATTCGCCTAATGAGTGAGACGAAAGGCCAGGTTTGATCTCCTTTACCACAAAAAGGGACCTAAATTTCTCATTGCACAAGAATAATTAACTATCCAAAGTTTCCGTCTTTAATATTGCCTTCTTGCTGTTGGTCACTTCCACAGCATCTCAGTATTTTATCCTTCCCCCATAGCGCATTGAATATATACTTCTTAAAATAGTAACATACCAAGAATGTGACCAAAAAAGGACATTAGTAAGAATTGCTCTACATATTTAGTGGCCTTTCTTCCTACTCCGACTGAATGTAGGAGCCACCAATATTGTTCTTGGCCACATTGCTTGCCCTGGTCATAGTGTGACCCAGCCGGGCTTGTAGTTAGGGGCACCTCCTGGTCCCTCTGGCCTCTGCTTCAACTCCTTCGAAACGTGCTTGTAACAGCAGATACCCAGACCTTAGGATCGAATCGGTCTAATTGTACGTGGCTGACTGTGGTGTGGCGTTTTCCTAATGACCTCATCCATACTGTTTTTAGATATCTCAGCCATAACTGCATAACAGCTCTCAGGCCTGGAATATTCAAAGACTTGCATCAGCTCTCTTGGCTGTAAGTATCTTGGCTCTTCTCTCTCCTACAAATGCTCCTAGTTTGAATGATTTACCACAATGTTTGGATAGTTTCCAGGCTGGGATGTCTCTGGTTTCTTCTGTTTCTGACTCACATGTAATCTGATGTATTTTGCCCAAGAAATTCAGACCTGAGTGGGGCAGGCGATGGTTGTGTGGAAAAGAGATCTGGCCATGTTCTTACTGGGGAGCCTCGGCATCCCACGGCAGCCCTGCCAAGCCAGGCAGCCATCCAATGCCACCAAGAACGGAAAGTCCTTGACCCCAGTGCTATGGACATCTTGACTTCTGTAATTCTTTGCCCAAAGCAGAGAAGACAGTGTGTTCCATGCATGGCAGGAGGCCTCCTCTCATTCGAGGCCAGCAATGCAACTCCTCTCTAAGTTGTGACAACAGAAACCTATCTCCAGGTATTGCCAGGTGTCCCTGGAAGGGGAGAACCGCCCTCTGTTAGAAACCTCTGAGTTAGGAAGCGAGAGGTCCAGGGCTTGCTCTGGTCCCCGGGACATTCAGAGAAAGGTTGGAGAATCTAGCAACGCCTGCCATTTACTTCTCCTGTGAGCCAACAGCTCCATCTCCAGTCATCTCTCACCAGCCACAGTAAGCAGAGTCATAGAAGGCTCTGTGTTTGTTGTCTGCAGATTGGCGTGGCTCCTAGAAAGTCCGGGGCTTCAGCTCCCTCTAGACCTAGTGTGAACCTGGTCCTGGGCTTAGTGTTGCAGCCAACTTCCTTAGCATGCCAGGCCTTGGTCTCAGTGGCTCCTTCTTTACATGGACTGTTTTGAGCATCGTCACACAATGAACATGAAGTGCTCCTGTCACATAGTAGGTGCTCTTGCGGCTCTGCTCCCGGTCCTACATGCCATGGACTTCTGAGAGTACAAGGTGACACCTGGTCCCTAAGGCCACTATCTCCCTTTGCCTCGAAACATAGTTGCAAATAGGGATTGTTGACTGTATGGCACGCTTTCTCCTCCTCCCTCAAGGCTCCTTACAAATGTGCTCCTGCCCTTTTTTTTTTCATTTGCACAGACCTTCTAGAATGCATAATTTCGTCACGAGATTAAAGAACTTGTGATTTCAGGGCTGGAGAAATGGCTCAATGATCAAGGGCACTGGAACTAGGATCAGTTTCCAGCATCCACGTGGTTGCTCACAAATCTGTAGCTCCATTTTTAGGGGATTTGGTCCTCACTTACAGCATCTATAGGCACCAGGCATGCATATAATGTACAGACTATGCATCCAGGAAAAACACACAAACACGTAAAACAAAAACACGTTTTAAAAACTGTGACTTTCTGGGAATTGTACTACCCTTTACTCTTTTGGAAGGGCACACGGTGGCGTTTGTTAAAGGACCACACCTGCCCGATGGTTCTGTCTTAATGTCATCCTACTCTTCCTCAGAAAACAGATTCCCATTGGAAGGAAAGAAAAAAATGAGGAAAGGAGGGGCAGAGCCTGTGCAATCTCAAGCCATACAAAATATCCCAGCATGGGGGGGGCAGGAAGTCCCACCCTCTGAGGAGCTATTGGTAATCAATAGCTCTTATGAGAGGGAGAACTGGTTTTCTTTAGGGGTGTGGCTGTGGGCAGGTTCACCGTACCTCACTGGGTAGTTTCACACCAGAGGGTACACAGGCAGTACATACTGGACTGGAATAGAGTTTGGGTAGGTATGGAAGGGAGAGGTGAATCTGGGGAAGGTTGGAAGAGGGGGAGGAATGTAATCAAAATACACTGTATGAAATTCATAATAATTTAATACAAACATTTTAAGTAAAAGAAAAAATTCATAGTGTTTTCATGAACAGAAAAATTAGCTCATGATAAAGATAACCCATCTAACCAGTCATTAAGGGAGTGCATCTTCTAATTTTCCTACCTGATACATAAAAACATTGAAGTTGTTCATAGTAGCAGGTACTGTGTGATGTTCCAACATATGCAAACACTGGGCGATGTTTAAATCTGGTTCAACACATCGGCTTCTTCAATCACGTGTTATTTCTTCTCTGTGATGAGGACATGAGATCCCCCCTTCTAGCATCTAGAAGGGAATAGTTCATAGCTGTTATGCTATTCGAGGGCGAGTGTGCGAATCCCCCTCCATTCAGCCAACCAGCAGGCAGGGTGCTTGTGGAGGCCGTTTCATCCAGTCAGGGCTCCTCAGGCAGGTGCAGAGAGAAAGCCATTCCAACTAGGTAAGCACTACAAGAAGAGCGCCAGGAACTTGGAGAAAACAGTGTCCTCCCACTCTTTGAATGAGAGCAAAGACACCGGTGCCCCCTGAGGAAGGAGTGGGCCAGGCAATGGGAGAGGCAGATTTCTCGTGCTCTTTTTATATTTTCCCGGGGTCTAGTTCAGGAATGTCTCTAACATTGGAAACATTTTGGTGTGTCTTGTCAGAATTTTAGACGACAATCCAATCAGCAAAGTCTCGCAGAGGTCCTTTACTGGATTAAGCTCCTTGTTCTTCTTGTAAGTATCCATCCCTCTTTCGGCACCCTTGCCCTTGAGAACATGTGTCAGAAAACATCAAGCCTGTCTTTGCTGAACTTCAGGCGGTAGTTACTGTTGCTAAGTCAAAGTTAACAACTGAACCGATTGGAGTCACTGTTGCTAAGCCAAAGGCAACAGCTGGACCAATTGTAGTTACTGTTGCTATGTCAAAGGCAACAGCTGGACCCATTGTGCTATGTAGCCTAAGCTTCCTGCTCGGCGTTGTTTATCTCCTGTCCCTTCCTAAAGCACCAAGTCATGTTTCTATGAGCACTGGTTGATCAAGGAGTTGTTTCTGTTTCCCAGCATCCTACTTAAACTATGTAATAGAACCTCACAGGAGCAGGGTCCAACTCCTTTTTAAGAGATTTGTTTAATTTTATTTCTTTGTGTATGAGTATTTTTGCCTGCCTGTTTGTCTGCGCACCATGTTCATGCAGTGCCCATAGAGGCCAGAGGATGGCATTCGATCCCTTGGAACTAGAGTTACAGGTGGTTGCAAACTGCCATATTGATGCCGGCAACTGAACCAGGGCCTTCTGAAAGAGCAGTCAGTGCTCCCAACCATTGAGCCATCTTTCCAGCTCCATTCTCACTAAAGGAAATCTGCTTTCTCCCAGAGATAACCAAAGAAAACTCCAAATATGGGCCCTACTGACAGATGTTTTCATAGCTGTGCTTCCAATATCCTAGGATGACGAACAGGCAAGGTGTTGCTGTGGCCCTTTACACTGGGTGATGTGACATCATGCCTGGTCCATTTATCAAAGGGACTACAGCATCATAAATTAATCATGGATCTTAGCATGCTCATGAACTGTTTGCTCTCGATAACTCCCCTTCCTGTCATATCTTAGATTTAATGCAGTTTTCAGTGTGTTTTTTTCATGCTATAAATGATTAATGCATCCCCAAGAAGACATCTTGAGAACCTAATGGTGCTGGAAATCATTGCAGGCTCGCAGTACACAAGGAAAACGATCGTGCACTTCACAGTTACTGTCTGCTTCTTGCTTTAGTTTTACCTCATAAAATTAAACTGAGCAATAATTTGCTTTCGGATGTACGCTGTACACGCACAGCCAAAGACTGGTGGCACCCGGCCCTTAGGCCTTACCACACACACACACTTAAAGCACTGTTTGGAAGGCACACTTATATACAAAGTCTTCATCCTGAAATAGAAATTACAGAAGACAGTTTTCAAAATGGTCAAAGAGAAAAACTCCTCTCTTCGATGTGGCTTAATCATTTTGTATCTAATTGTCGTTTTCTCTGTGCGGAGGTCCATGGTGAGTAACCAGCTAGAAGGCCTTCCTGAACGTCTGTGTGCCCAGATGCCTCAACTCAACTGGATGTGAGTATTTGTTAGGGATTGAACTTGTTGGATGCTAGGATGAAGGAGGTAGCCACAAATTGAGTTTGTAATTTTCTTTAAAATCTATCTAAGATGTCTCTACCAAACCCAAGTCTATTGTTACTTCCTGTTTTTAAAGACCCTGTAGGGAGAGGGTAGGGTAGGAGAGGGTCAGGTGGGTGTGCTCAAAGTACATTATACACTTGAATGAAAATGACCTTACACAATTTTGTGAGATAAAATGATAAAATGCCATTTGAGAACAGCTGGAGCACAGCACTTGGGAGGCTGAGGCAGGAGGATTGAGAATTTAAGCCGAGCCTGGGTTACATAGTGAGTTCTCTGCCCCCCCCAAAAAAAACCCAAAAAAGCAAAAACAAAAAAGGGGACTGAAGGGATGACTCAGTGGTTAAGAGCACTGGCTGCTCTTCCAGAGGTCATGGGTTCAGGTCCCAGCAGTTCATAACCACCTGTAACTCCATTTCCAGGAGATCGGATGCCCTCCGCAGGCACTGGACACATGCTATACAGACATAAATACAGGCAAGACACTCCTACTTGTTACATAAAAATACACGACTCTTTGAAAACTAAAATAAACAAGAAAGTCCTCGGAGTGTCCCCAGATGTGTAAGGTGGTGCTCAGCCGTCTCCCGCCAACCTCATCGCAACCCCTCCCCTGACATTGCAATTTTCTGGTCTTTCTTTTAACACCCAGCCTAGTCCCCTGAGTCCACTTTAACTTGGTTTGTTCCTCTTACTTGGTCCAACCAAACTGACAAACAGCCAGTGCTGAGAAGGGACATATTTCAAAGTCACTGCATGTGTACGATGCAAAAGGGCTTCTTATTATTCCTTATTACTAATTCTGTTTATTATCCCTTAAGCATTTCTCTCGGCATTGCCCATCCCTTGCCCGTCTGTGCTTTCTAACCCCACTTCCTCCACATGCCCTTCTGTCTAGGTGTGGTAAACCCCAATTCTACACCCATCTCTAGGCTCATGAGCTTCTTGAAGCTGGGAAAGTCTTTCTCCCTCATCCCTTCCAATGTCCACTGAAGCATCACCTCCAGGATGCCGTACCACACACTGTCCAGCTTCCATGGATGCCTGTGCGCTTCCACCACCCCTCAAAGGGATCTACCATGCCCCATCAGGTCTGAGACCATGCCCACCACGTGATCGGTGATCAGTAAACCCTCAGTACATAGATGAACTAAGCCACTCCCACTCTTTCTTGCCTTGTCACTACTACCTGCTTAGGAGGGTCATGATGCCACCACCACCCACTATTCCCTGCCAGATACACCTCCCTGACTTCCTACAGAAACCCAAGGTTGTCATGGTCATCAAAAACATACATCACCGCCATAGCTCTTCTCGGGTCAAATAGGTGACTGGGTCCCTGTCAATCAAAAGAATGTCAGTATTTCAGCTTTCCCAGGCTCTGAACTATGAGGTGGGATTGTGTTGATTTGCTGACTCTAATTTCCATGTGCTTATTTCTACATCTCTCACCAAAGGACTCTAAGAAATAGAGGTTTCATGTAAGTGTGCTACTATTAAAAACCACAGAAACGATTATCTGAAAACCATGAGAATAAAACTCATCAAAAATTAGTCACAGGCTTTGGTAGCTCACACCTGCAGTCCCATCCCTCCGGAGGCAAGAGGCAGAAGGATCAGGAGTTCAAGGCCCTCCTTTGCTGTCCAGAGAGTTCAAGACCAGGGAGCAACATGAGGGTGCTAGAAGGGTGTAATCTTCTAGTACCAGTACATGTGAGGTGGAAAAGGAAGAGATCAGGAGAGCAAGGCTAATCTCAAGTCCAGAGAGGCTGAGACCAACGTGAGCTCCTTGAGACCTAGTGTCAAAAAAGCGTAGGAATTGAACACACACGAGAGAGAGAGAGAGAGAGAGAGAGAGATTAGAAACATTAGTAAAAATGCCTGCTTTTTCTCATCCCTGCCTCATCACACTGCTAAAAGTAAGAATTCCAGAAGGTTCCAGAAGGCTTTTCCAGAGCATGTAGGATGGCAGATGTGCCAAGGATCCAGCTGGTAGGAAGGAGTCTCCCTGCTCATGTTCTTTGGAGTTCTAAGGACATTTCTGAGCAGCTCAAAGAGTAGGGAATGCTAAGGGGAGCTTCCGATCCAGCAGGTCTGGTGTGGAGTCTGGGAGTCTACACTTCTAGAAAGTTCCCCTGGCTCAGGGGTCAGGTCCTGCCATACTTGGAGTTGTGTTACAGAGGCATTAGCATTCCCGGGCCAGTGTAGAAAGAAAACCTTGATATCACAGACCAAGATTTATGTCCTAAGGTTGGTGAACAGTCTGTGCGAGACAACTTTAGCCTGAGTTTCCTCTTTACCCGAACATTGACTGTCATGGGGAGGGAAGTGGACCGTGGTCCGGATTGCCACAGGACACAAGAGTGTCTGGGTTTCAGAAAGATCTGACTGCGAAGGGCTCTTCTGCCACGCACCAGCTGTATGTGAAGTTGTAAACTAAATCTCTGAGTATCCCAGATGCCTGCCCCACCTGTTGAATGGGCGACAATGATGCTAACCCTGAGGAACGCAGTGGTAGACATGCAGGACAATACCAGCCTAGGGGATGGGAGTGGATGGAATGGAGCCAAGGCTACACCATCTTAGTCTTTTATGTGGCTGTGGGAAAACACTGCGACCACAGCCCCTGAGAAAAGAAAGAGTTTACTGCGTTCTTACATTTCCAGAGGGTTGGCGTCTGTGATGCCAATGTGGAGGTAGCAGGCAGCAGGGGACCAGAGCAGCAGCTCAGTGTTCCCTCACATCTGGAACCACAAACAGGAAGAAGAGGACACATCCTAAGTGACTAGTTTTTGAAGCCTCGATGCCCAACCCCCGTGACATACTTCCTTCATCAAGACCATATCTCCAAATGCTCCCCCAAACAGCCACCAACTGGTACCAAGTAGTCACACGACTGAAGAGTTATTAAAACACCACCCATAGCTAACAGCATAGTGCCCAGCCCAGACGGACTCTCCCATCCAAAACCTATAGCTAACAGCATAGTGCCCAGCCCAGACGGACTCTCCCATCCAAAACCTATAGCTAACAGCATAGTGCCCAGCCCAGACGGACTCTCCCATCCAAAACCTATAGCTAACAGCATAGTGCCCAGCCCAGACGGACTCTCCCATCCCAAATAATTAGCTGCTCTTCCCTTTGTTGTTCTTCTTAATTACATTTTAGCATCAGTTGGGGAAAAAAGGAAACATAATATTAATTATAGAAATTCCACAAAAATTAGGAAAGATATATGGCAAAAAAAAAAAAAAAGAATGAAGGAAAGATAAAATTCAGAACTATTCTGTCAACAGAAAGCATCCCTTGCAGCTGGTTTATACAAAGGTGTTTGAAGTGTTTTCCCTCCGTGGCTTTCAGGGATCTGGCAAACAATGAAATAAAGTACCTAACGAACTCCACCTTCCTTACGTGCGACTCGCTCACGGTTCTGTAAGTACGAGACAGCCCTGTCGACGGGGAAAGTCAAGGAAATTCTGGCCATGGATTCCAAAGTACTGTTTTGTTTCCAGCCTTGATGTGAAAGTTCACTAGTGGAAAGGGGGGTGTATTTATTTACCGTGAAATAAGATCCTTTTCGTAAAAGTGGCTACACTCATCGAGCTAGGTCTTACACACACACACACACACACACACACACACACACACACACACACACGCATGCGCGCGTGCGCACACGCACCCCGAAGAAAGTGGGAGCACTCTCACGCATTCCAACTGGCCAAAGATTCTGACTGGCTTTTCTGATTACTGATTGTGTCTGTCCTGGGGGCGGGAAGGGCAGATAAATTGGCCAATTGACACATTTGCTTTGGCAAGATAAGAAACACAACTAGTTTATGTGGGCTTTGTAATTGCAGTTTTCTGGAGAGAGGAAGCACACAGCAAAGCTTGCTGATTGAACGAGTGGCTAGAGAAAAACACAGGGGACACTTGTAAAAATGATCAGAAATCAAAGAAAATGTGACTTCACAGACCACACTCGGGTGTCTGGAAGCGCACCCAGCAGTGCTTCCTAAGGGACTGGGTACGACTTTCGTCAGGGGGGAAGTCTTGCCTGGCTCGGGCTCCCGCTGAGCCCTCAAAGGGGGCTTACTAAAAGGCACCTGGAGCAGTGGCATCTCCCCGCTGGAATGATTGTGACTGAGATAGAAACCCCCAGTGCTAACTCTCACCATGTTTTACAGGTTTCTGCCTAGAAATCAAATTGGATTTGTTCCAAACAAGACATTTTCTTCATTAAAAAATTTAGGAGAACTGTAAGTAGCATAGTCTCCGGGGAAGAACATAGTTGCTCTCTTCTGAGACCACCAATCTAAAGGACGAGGGACACTGTCTCTCCTCTTGGAGCAATCAAGCTTCTGGAGACTATTAGATATTCAGAACCAAGTAAGGAACCCCTCGTGGTCCTGAAGTCATTAAAATCATTCGCTGGGGTTGACAGGGAGGCAGCCTGTTCTACTGTCTCTGCCTGCTTCCCTTGGGTCAGTTTCGTGTGTACGTGTGTTGGGAGCTGGGTGAGCCTGTTAAACCCGTGGCTGGAATTTCACTAATAGTTCGTATGGCTAACTCTGAATGGATGCGGGATGAAGCGGGGCGTAATTGATGTGTTGTAAGCTGATTATATCTGGCCAGAGGCATGACTGCTCTTAGTGTCCCCAAGAGGTCATGACTTCTGTAGCTGAGGCCAGGAAGACAGGTCTACAATGAGGAAAAGTTTTCAGACACCTCACATAGCTCTCTGTCCAAATACATGTTTTATAACTTTAAGACTTTGGAAAACATCTCTTTTGCCCTGAATTCATTGCTGCCCACATAACGGAATGACTGGAAGTGAAAATTAAATCTGTGGTATGGCACACCACGGCAAGTAGGATGCAGGACCCATCCTGCTGGTGGGGGATGTTAAAAGGGCCACTGATGTCTTAAGCAACCCTCCTCCATTTCTTATGCCTGGCTCTGGAGGACTAAGGAGAATAGCTCAATGAGGGTATTTTTAAATAATTATAATAATTCCATAAATTAATGGGTATCATAAATAAAATCCAAAAATGTATAGGCAATGCTCCATTCTCGAACTAAGTTATTTTGTGACAAACTGCTGCAGACGACTCACTCAGAACTGAGCCTCTTGGGGACTCACTCCTGTTCCTGTCTGGTGAAAGGATGTGGATGTGGGGCAGAGAAACTGGAGGCAGATGCCCGGGATGGTGAGGGCTTATAGTGTGTATGTGTGTGGTGTATGGTGTGTGCATGTGTGGTACGCATGTGTGTGTATGGTGTGTGTGTGTGCATGTGGTATGGACATATGTGGTATGGGTGTGTGCGCGTGTGTGCATGTGGTGTGTGCGTGTGTGTGCATGTCTGGTGTGTGTGTGTATGGTGTGTGTGTGCATTTATGTGTATGTGTGTATGGTGTGTGTGCATGTGGTGTGTGTGATATGTATGTGTATGATGTATATGTGTCTGTGGTATGTATGTAGGGGGTTTGGTGTGTGTGGTGTGTGTGGTGTGTGCATGTGTGGTGTGTATGCATGGTGATGTATGTGTGGCCTGTGTATTGTGTACATGTGGTGTGTATGTACATATGTGGAGTGTGTGTGTGTGTGTGTGTGCATGCGTGGGTGCGTGTGTGTACTCTGTCTTATCCTTCCTGAGCACTCTCTTGGTCTAGCAAACACTGTGCCACCATGGGAAGCATGGCTTACTTAGCTGTAGTCCACCCTGTAAAGCACTAAATAACAGTTTGCTGCAAATGTGGTCATTTTAGCTAGAATTCTCCATCTTAATAATAATTGCAATGGCCCCAACAGCAAGTCCTGAAGTCAGCTTCCTAGCCCTCCACTCTGTGCTGATGCTAAGTTTTCTCAGACCCTGAGCCCTGCTAGAGTCTCTGAGGAGACTGAGTGGACAATCGACCCTCACCTCCCTCTCCTAACTCCACCCTCACCTCCCTCTCCTAACTCCACCCTCCCCTCCCTTCCTAACTCCACCCTCACCTCCCTCTCCTAACTCCTTCCTCCACCCTCACCTTCCTCTCCTAACTCCATCCTCACCTCCCTCTCCTAACTCCACCCTCACCTCCCCCTCCTAACTCCTTACCTCCAGCCATTGTCACTGTGACTGTTCATCTGCTTGTTCTCCACTGCCAGCATTACCGAGGAGACTGATTTAAGGAGGGTTTCCAGCCTCCTGGACTGGGTCCCTGGAATGTGACATTTCTAGAAGCATCCTCCGTGATTCCAATGCTTCCACTGCACTCTGGGAAATAAGACCTCGACACTTGCGAATGATGCTAATATCCTGTATCTGTGGACCCTTTCGGTTGCATTTCCTCTACATCTTTCCCATAACTTTTTGTCTTCCATGCATACTGAATCATTTGTGGGTTCCTGAAGATGATATACAACCCCAACCATGGGTTTCTCGAGCTATGCTTTACTCTTACCTTAAAAGTTGCTCTTCCTTTACTAAATCTAAAATCCAGTCCTGGGGCTTTGTCTGCCACTTCCTAATTCCATAACCAAGACTGATGGCTCCACACCTTATCATTTATCTTTTCTTATTTTGTTTCTTCCTTGTCTTGTAATATCTCTGCGTTTGTCCATTTTCTGTGCCTGTAACAACATAACTGAGGCTGGGACTTTATGGAAAAAGAGGTTTACTTAGCCCACACAGTTCTAAAGGCTGGAAATCCAAGACCAGTCAGATCCATCAGTGCAGCCTCTGGTGAGCGAAGGGAGTCACGTCAGGTGAGACCGGAAGTGAAAGAGAGTCAGGAGTCAGACTTCCGGTTTTTTTTTTTTCCTTTTTTAACTTGTGCAGGAGCTACCTGGAATCCCTTAAAACTACTTCAGTATTTTCCGAGGGTGTGCACACAGAGGCCTAACCATTCCTCACTAGGTGCTTCCTTTTGAAGGATCCGCAACACTAAACCTCAACACTAAAGACCAGACCTCCTCTACATGACCTGCAGAGGAGCTGGACCACATCCGAACATAACCTTTGCTGTTTCTACAAATCAACTTTCTTAGGGAAAATCCTCTATAGTTATTTTGAGCTCCCCCATATCTATTAAAATCTCAAGAATAGTTAGGATCTTATACTTCAGGAGCTGGAGAGATGACGCGGCAGTTAAGAGTACTGACTGTGCTTCAGAAGACCCATGCTGGGTTCCTGTACCCACATGGAAGCCCACACCAATGTCACCAGTTCTGGGGTATCTGATGCCCTCTCCTGGTGACGATTAGTACTACACCAACACAGTACGCACACAGGCAAAACACCCATACACATTTTTAAAAAGATCTTTTGCTTTATACTTAATTAGGCAATTGTGCACAGGTTTCGTCTTTAACATCATCTCTTCTTAGAGATGTTTTAGACCCTCCACCAATCTGTGCCTCCAATTGCAACAGATCTCTTTGCTGCACTCTCTAGAGTGACTGCTACCCTATGACTCTTTCTAGATTGGACAATGGTTTCATATTCCATTAGAAATACTCATTTTTTTTCTTGTGCAAAACAGAACTATATAAGAATGTAATTAAACCACCAGGGGATGTAACAGAGCACTTGACCAGCATGCACAAGGTCCCAGGTTCAAACCCCAGTAATGGGGCTGGGAGCTGGGGAGCTGTATTTAAAACATATAAATTTATCCACTCGAGATTGTCTGAGCAGATACTCAGAGACTGTCACTCATTTCGATGGAATGCAAAATAAATAGAAGATGCAAGTCTCGACCTCCAAAAGATTAGAGACATATGTGGGCTAAGTGGGAATCCCAGGCACGTGGGTGGTTGATGTGAGCAGGGTGTGCTTAAGACAGGAAATTAATCAAGGATCCCAGAGCCAGAATGTACTGGCAAAGGGGTAAGAGGAGATTCCAGACAGGAACTGGATGAGCCTCATGCAACACGGTCTGTCAGTGATGGGAAAAATCCCTCCATTGACTCACGAGCATGTGTCGCAAGTTCGCGGCCTGATTGAACTGGATTCTTATCTTTTCTTGTATCAACTGGGAAATGGTAACTGCGGGGAGAGATGCCCATGCCCTTTATCCCCAGTGTGACTGTTTTTGGTTTTCACTGTCTTCAACAGGGACTTGTCTAGCAATATGATAACGGAACTACCAGCTCACATTTTCAGCGACCTGCATCTTCTCCAGAAACTGTAAGTCCCTGCCTCATCATCAGATTTAACGAGCGTATCTTAGCCTTCCAAGATAATATTAACAGCCATACTTATCCTCCCCCTCCTCTAATGATAAAAAAGGAACCTGTCGTCCAATCCTCTTCTGTATATCCACCAGAACCAGTTTGGAAGTCTCAAACAACTTCAGTCTCTGTAAGTAAAGCTCTCTGATTATGCCGGCTATCACTGTAGCGAGGCTGTCTTGCCTAGCGATGTGTTTGGTTCTAAGTGGGTGTTTCTCAGGCTGGAGCAGGAGTCCCCAGGAGTCATCCCCAGGAAATCCTGACCGTCCCTGTCCACTGTCAGTTATGAACTAACTCGTACAAAGTTGCTGCTGTGGCCACTCAATTGTGCAGCTTCTATCTGTGTTTGAAGCTGCGTAGGCATCCATCCTGAGGACTGGACTTGGAGGGAAAATCTAGTCCCATGACCTTCACAAAGAATTAAATATGTAACAATTTTGCTTTGAAAAAGATTGGCAAAAATGCATTCTCTAAGACTTCCTTCTTTTCCTCTATCCTCTCTCCCTGGGAATCTTTAGGATAAAAATTGATCTTCACTTATTTTATTTTATTATTTATTTTCATTTTATTTTATTTTTACTTCTTTTTTTTGTTTTGTTTTGTTTTGTTTTGTTTTGTTTTGAGACAGGGTTTCACTATAGTTTTAGAGCCTGTCCTGGAACTAGCTCTTGTAGACCAGGCTGGCCTCGAACTCACAGATTTCCGCCTGCCTCTGCCTCCCGAGTGCTGGGATTAAAGGTGTGTGCCACCACCGCCCGGTTTTCTTCGCTTTTTAATAAATGAAAAAATCCCACAGAGGTGAACATTCAAATAATTGATGTTGTTTGGTATTTTATAGCTTAAACTACCTTTGGTTCTGTTGGTACCAAAAATTCTGCCAAGTCCTTAAATTTTGTGATTCCTCTCCCCTAGGGGACCAACTGTTGGCTAAAGTTGATTTGTCAGACCAGAAACCATATTATATTATCTATTTCAATCTAAAACATTTTTCTTTGACTCCTAAGACTGATGTTTTGCTTTGTTTCTCTTGTTTGAGACATCGTGGCTTTGTTTGATTTTCTGAGACAGGGTCTCCCACAGCCCAGGCTAGCCTCAGGCTCACTGTGCTGCTGAGGATGACCTTAAACTTCTGACCCTACTACCTCCACATTCCACGTGCTAAGGTCTGTTCCAACACACCAAGCTCCTTCCACAGACTAATCATCAGCACCACATTTCTTTTTGTTAACTAGTTTTCTGTCGGGAACTAGCAAAAGATTTAGCGTTTTTTAGCCAATATTAGTGAGCATTGGCTGGTGGGTAGCATGGCCTTTACCCTTAGGAAGCTGTAAATAACCAAAATCTATAAATATATTATTGTGACTATTCTAAAGACTTATTATATATTTATGTTGGAGGTAGGTATGTGGACATGTGTGTCAGTGGATTTGGAGGCCAGGGGAGGACATCGGATCTCTCGACATGGAATTAGGGAGGACTGTGAGCCACTGTGTGAGGGTTGGGAAGTGGACCTGGGTCCTCTGGAAGAGCAGTCAGTGCTCTTAATCACTGAGTCATCTCTTCATCCCTAACCTGTTATTTTTAAACTCGACAACAGACTTCAGACTATAGACATGGTTCTTTTGGTGGACAATTCTATCATATTTCATTATAAATACTCAACTTCTTGTGCAAAGGCAGTCCTATGTAGGAAGACATTTAAAGTGCTGGAGAATGTAGCTCAGTGGCAGAGAACTTGACTGGCTTAAAGTTCTAGGTTCACCGAACACATTTCTAAAAGGGAGGCTATCCAGAATGATCCCTTTCCAAAAGGAGGTAGGAGCAGTTAGGTCCACATTCCTCTCTTTGTTCTCACATTTATTTACTGTCCGATTTCTGTTTCTGAAATTCACTGGTACACATATTTCACCCTGGACATCAACTCATATATTGCACTGTCTTACAACCAAGATATAATGGCTCTACATTGTAGAGGTCACACAGTCCACCTAAAATGTCTATGGTGATAGAGAAAGAGAAAGCTGGAGAATAGATGAAAGGGGGGTTCGAAAGATCTTGGGGTGTTTTCCCACAGGGGTCACTGTCGTAGCAGTATCTCTTCAAGTTATGATTCTGGTCCAGAGAGCAAGGGGACTCTTCTGTGAAAGAGCCACTGGGCCAAGGAGAACGCAACTCAAAACAATGTTGTGAAATCTTGATTCCAATCAGACGAAAGCAACAGGATAAAAGCCTGGTTTTAAACGGCAGCTTCTGAGCCCACGCTGCAAGCAGAAGGATCTCACCGCTATCCAGAGCCTTTTCCCTCTTTGCTCTGGGAGAGGTCTGTGGCTCCTCCTTCGCAGTGCCCCAAAGGATTCTGAGATCCTTAAGAAGCGCCCAGATAATTTCAAAATGTCCGGATGCCTGCTGGAGCCCTTTGAAGATGTGTTCTAGAGCCTGGAGGGACAAGAATGATGCTTCCTCTGGGGTTGAAGTAAAAGAAGATCTGGGAGCATCTGACTCTTCCCGCTGCCTCTGTGGTTCCACTCCAAAGACGTGCAGACCAGGAAAATGCGTATTCAAGTCCGGATTCACAGGGGACTCACTTGAATGGTGTTTTTTAGTTAGAAGTGTTAACTATGGAATGAACCATGGAATGAATTTCCATGGCAGTGTTGATCAAATCAAGGTATACAAATCATGTTATACTTACATCAGACACCACTGCCATTTGGTCTATGGATTGTTTGTTTGTATGTTTATCACTTCTGGTGCTGGGAGCCAGAACCTTGTGTTTGTCGGGCAAGTGTGCAACCACTGAACCACACTCTCCTGGCTCTGCCATTTCAATATATAGCACCAAAGGGTTATATTAGAACATAATTCTGCATTTAAGTAGCAGGAAAGCTCCCACTTACAGAAGATTTTTATATTAATGATAATTTTCTCAGAATGTCTACTGTGAAATTTTTATTCATATTTGAATTGGAAGCGTCAACTTTAAGATGCAACCAAAAAATGAAATAATTTCAAAGCTTAGCCCTAAAAACATTAAACCCATTGTATATATTTTCCAGAGACCTGGAAAGGATAGAGATTCCAAACATAAACCCAGGCATGTTCCAGTCCATGAAGAACCTCTCGCACATGTATGTATGCTTGAAGGGGTGGAGGGAAAAGAAGGCATGATGAATTAATTCAAATATTCTCATGCTCTGACAACTGTCTGATTACCACTGAACTGTGTTTGCATGCAACAAACGTCTTCTTTTCTATTGAGAACTTTTTAATTTTGTCACCTTTGGTCCCTGTTCAAATAGAGTTCAATATAATGATGTGCCGACATGAATGACCCTTCTCTCTGGAAACACGATGTTTATCCAATTGAGGCCCAATAAGAGGTCAGGGTACCAGAATGCCACACATTACAGCAAATGAAGTCCCTGGCTAAAGGGTACTCAGGAGGCCTGGAAACATTAATTCACTTCACATGAGTGAGCAGTCGGCTGCTCTAAGATTTGGGCTTTGTAGATTCCAGGTGTTGTTTCTCTTATTAAGTGCACTGCAAAATGGAGGTAATTCATCTTTATCGTAGTTTTGTTAAGTCCTTGAATAAATAAGACTAAAGTGCACTGTATAAGTTGTGTTCATGTATGTGTTTTTTTTTAACATGATCATTTCGTTCTCAACTGTATATATGTTCCTAATTTCAAAATTAACCATTGTCATCCACAAAAATAGGGAGAACTCGATGTAAGATCCCAAGTTGGGTGCAGCCAGTCGATGAGAGTGTTGATGTGAATTCAGGTGCTTTTTTTGGGGCGAACACTCTGGGTCTATCTGGGCAGGTGTGGTGCCTCAAAGACAGGTGTCCAGTGCGCATCTGAGAGCGTTTGTTCATTTCTCCTCCCGGGGCACCGCTAGATAAATAATTAATGAGGCTATGCTCTACTCGCTGCAGGCGGGAGGTGAGTTTCCTTAGAATAGAGAAACCCAGCCTTGTCAGAGTTTGGTGAAGCTGCTTTTCTGGGCAAAGTCGAGGCCCACAGAGGGACCAACACAAACACAAAGCGAGCTAGCTTAGCTGCATCCCTACCGAATGGCCTGCCTTCCTTCCCTTTCTTTTCCTTTCCTTGGCCTTTCGTCGTTGAGGCATCCCTCTCTCCTCACCCCGTCCCTTCCTCCTACCCCTGGGTACACTGGGAGGACCAACAGGACTCTCTCTGAAGATGATAAGCACAATGGAATCCGAAAAGAGCCAAGGGTGCCAGGAGTGTGTGCTGGGAGTCCAGGATAGGAAAAGACAATCATATCCAGATGTCTATCTCCTTTAATTGGATGCCAGCTGCTAGGAAGCCGAACTATATGCCACTTGGGCTGGAATTTTCCTTCTGTGTCTCCAACACATCCAGCACCCAACCATCTATAGTCCTTTGCTTGCTGGGTCCTTGGCATCCAACAGGCACGTAGTGATGCTGAGGACATAGTGATAAGCAAGAGGAAGAACACACCAGAGGACTTTCATTTAGCTTTGAAATTGGAGTAAATGAGCCAATAAGTAAATGTCTATTAAATTCCCTGAAGATTCATGGAACAAAATAAAGAGACAGATGAGGACTCCTCATGGGCAGTCATGTGGCACTCGAGACAACCCCAATGCATCCAAAGGAAAAGCACAGATGCCTCTTAGAAGGGGAGGAGCCTGGCTTGTGCGGGGTTAGAAGGTCACTGTGTTTGGGTAAGAGGCCAGGCAGCTAAGGGCACCCAGGCAAGCCATCTTAAGAGCACTCCACACAGTATCACGTTATCATCTAATTGCTGACATGGAATCTGAATTAGAAGATGGTTAAAGTATACTCCGCTGGGGAAAAGATTCAAGCAGTGAACTTTAAGACCCAGCTTAGCTAAGGGAGAAAATCTAAAGACACAAATCTGGGGTAAGCTGACCCATTCCGACTGTCGAGACTCCCCACGCCCAGATTACAAATGCATTGACCACAAACAAACCTTCATTTCCCGCTAGAATTTAAGTCCCTAGAAGAAACTCTGATAGGAACCCTGTGTTTAAGGTCACTGCTTCTCCTCCCAGCTCCAGACTCAATTTTCCTAGTCTCAGATCTCTACCCCCATGCCAGGACAAGGAGAAGGCTAGACAGTCAATGTTCATTGAGAACATTTTTTGGGAGTCATAGGTTCCTTACTGTGAAAGCCTGGGATGCTGGTTAGAGATCAACTCTGTGACAGTGATCTGCTTTTTACAATACCCAGTGAGAATTAAAACACCACATCCAATATGGCTGGGCTGGGCACAGTAGTGGGGCCCCATGCCCAGATCTCTATGGTCCCCCACACCCGTGACTCTCTCTAGACACAGACATATGCTTTTAAGTCTGTGTCCTTGTAGTACTAAGTCCCCCTTACAGCCACACCTAGACTAACAAATTACACAAGAACAAAAACCCTTCACAGTAATAAACAAACCAGCAAAGTGCCAGCCCCTGCTTCCCGCCTGTAGCCTGGTAGGGCTCCCTCAGTCACCGCTGTCCAATAACTGTCTCCTTTTTCTCCTTTTGACTCCAGTTACTTGAAAGCCTTTCGATACTGCTCCTATGTTCCCCATGTCCGAATCTGTATGCCCCCGACTGACGGCATTTCTTCATCTGAGGACCTCTTGGCTAACAATATCCTCAGAGTGTCTGTCTGGGTTATAGCTCTCATTACCAGCGTTGGGAATTTCCTTGTCATTGCCGTGAGATCTCTTATTAAGGCTGAGAATACGACTCATGCTATGTCCATCAAAATCCTTTGTTGTAAGTATGTTTCTTGTATAAATAGATTATCTTCTATGAGCTGATATGTATATATGTGTATGTATATATACACATACAATTTTGTGTATATATTATATTTAGGATTGTATATTCAACTAATATCCTTCAATCCAACTTAGCTTTGGCAGGCAAATCTTTTCTAGGTATAAATGCACTGCCCTTTGTGACTTTAGGTTACAGGCTCTCAGCATGAAGTGTAGCCCTGGGGATCATGTCGTAGAAATGGATTCACAGGTCAATGAGTGAGGGATGGAAAATGGAATAAGTTTGGAGATTTGTAAACTAATTTCTTCAAGTTGTATTATTATTAATTTAATGTATTATTAATTTCGATTACAAAGGCCCGTGTGCTTAAAAAGCCAGATCCCCACCCGCTCTGCCCCCCACTGTCAGGGAAAGGAGAGCTAGATATTCATGTCAGACAAGAATATTTTATTAACTATACCAGTAGTGGGCGTTCTCATTCAAGTACTAGCCCTCAAGAAGTGTTCCCTCTTCTGCCCTTTAAACCAGAAACCAGATCAGGTCCATTGGCTGGTTGGTAGTCTAGTCGGTTCATTTAATACAGGAAGCAGAATTGAGGAACATAAAAGGTCTTATGCTGAGCACTACCGCCACGGGCTGCTTGGGTTCCCGCAGGTGCCGACTGCCTCATGGGGGTGTACCTGTTCTTCGTGGGCGCCTTTGACATCAAGTACCGAGGGCAGTATCAGAAGTACGCGCTGCTGTGGATGGAGAGTGTACCCTGCCGCCTCCTGGGCTTCCTGGCCATGCTGTCCACGGAGGTGTCAGTGCTGCTGCTGACTTTCCTGACTCTGGAGAAGTTCCTGGTCATCGTCTACCCTTTCAGCAACCTGCGCCCGGGCAAGCGCCAGACTGCGGTGGCCCTCGGCAGCGCCTGGGGGCTGGGATTTCTCATAGCTGCCGTTCCCTTCACCAGCGAGGATTATTTTGGCAACTTTTATGGGAAAAATGGAGTCTGCTTCCCACTTCATTATGACCAAGCAGAAGATTTTGGAAGTAGAGGGTACTCCCTTGGGATTTTCCTAGGTAAATTTTTCTTTTCTTTTCCCAGAGAGACGCCACCCACCATTTTCCTAGAAATGACACAAGCCGTCAGATATGAGTGGGTCCATTCAGAAAGGAAGGTTCTTCACGTTCATTTTGTAGGTTTTTTTTAATTATTAAACTTTGTATTGCTGAAATGTAGGACAGAAGACAGAGATATCCTCCCAGGACCTTTGAGTGATTTTTGTTTTTAAATCACCCTTGAATTCTTTTTGCTTTTCTTTCATAGCGAGCACGGCCTGGAAAAATTCTAAGTTAATATCCAGTCCTGAAACCCTACCAAATTACTTAAATGCCTTTAAAATGCCTTTTTTGTAACAATTTAGTTATAACTTAAATAAATATTAATACAATTCTAGAAAATCGCAAACAGGTCATCTAAACACCCGCAGATACACAGCCTTTTGTAAAAACTTCTCTTGAGGCCCCGCGATACCAATTCTTCTCACTTTCCTTAATTTCCCGACTTTTTCCTTAGAAATAATGATCCCATATTTTCTACTATAAATGAATGACAGACAGACCTTAACATTAATTGTCTTTGTTATTGTGTAACACGTCTTAATTCTGCTTGGAATGAAGGTGGCTCCCAAAGCGTTTTTTAGCTAACACATTATTCTGTTCCCTCTTGCCCCTCATCTTCCTCATCAACAAGCTTTTTGTCGCTCTCTTGTAAAAACAGTTCTCTGCCCTATGTCTCCACTCACTGCTGTCACCTCCCACCGCCCTTGACATTGTAGTCTTCCTTCCTCACATCCGTCTGTCTGTCTGTCTGTCAGCCCTGTCAGAACTTGGCTACAAAAACAACCGCTTCTCTCCGATCTGAAACCATCAACACCCCAAACGACTTTCAAGATCAAGTTCAAATGGGCAGCTTAAACCCTATCCTGGGGTGACCCGAACCGCTGTGTCCCTTTCCCCAGTATCTCTTCTCCTTTTCTGAAATACAGGACTCTTTCTATACACCGCTTTGGGCGCTCTACTCACACACCATTCTTTCTTGGTATACGTGTGTTCGTAAGTTTGTCCTTTCGGGATACCGTAGACAGTTCGTGCTTCCTCCAGGCTCTCCTCTTCACAGCTACCAGCACAGGCATACCTCACAATGGATGTGCCTATGTAAGCACACACACCCACATACACTCATGTGTGTGCCTATGTAAGCACACGCACCCACGTGCATTCATTTATGTGCCTATGTAAGCACACGCACCCTCGTGCGCTCATGTGTGTGCCTCTGTAAGCACACGCACCCACATACACTCATGTATGTGCCTATGTAAGCACACGCACCCTCGTGCGCTCATGTGTGTGCCTATGTAAGCACACACAGCCATGTGCATATGCCCACTACTGTCTATTCATGAGGTCAAGGATTTATTGCGAGTCTTCTATGAGCTGTCCCAATATTAAAAGCTAGAGCTACACCGGCCCCCATTCTCGCAGATATTACAGAGCCGAAAGCAGGACACAGACCCTCAGATGCGTCCTCACAGCTCAGGCCAACAAGCATCGTGGGCGAAGCGTACAGGACATCCTAGTTGCCCCACATGGGAGGACCATGTTTCTACATCTTTGACAGAGAAATGAAGCCCCAGGGATGAGGAGGCACAGCCAAGTGAAGCCAGAGGATGGCAGGGATGGGAGCTGTGTTCTGGGAAAAGACAGTGGGGTCAGAGATCCAAAGCCAGGGGCCAGGCCCAGCTGCAGTGCTGGGAAGTCGAATCTTACAGCTAAGGCATGAGACGGCTAAAGCGGGTCCAGTTCCTGCCACGGAGCCATTTTGCTTTACACCAAGCGAAGCTTTCTGACAAGAGGCTTCAGACAAGCCGGGCTTATAAAATGCTGTTGTAGCACAAGGTAGTAAGAGTCCATGGACGACGAAACACCGTGGTTAAAAGTAACCTTGAACCTGAACCGTTTTTCCCTGCCGTTACCAGTCTTCCACACAGTCTAAATTCAGATTGAGCATGGTTTTTAGCAGCTCTGGAAACATATGCAAATTTTATGCTTATCAAAAAGAATTTGATAATCGCTGTCTTGGATGTTCCTTTTATTACAGCAAGAATAAAGTAAGCAAAGGAACAAGAAATCACTGTTATAGGGGCTATCTGTGAAACTGGCCTCCAAAGAGTGATTCATTTAGTTGTGTTTTTAACATTTTTATTTCTTTTCTAAATTGAGTTTAAAGGGCTCTGACTCGCAATGAATCAGATTACTGTGAGCAATCTAAGCAAAAGTAAACAAAATTGCATTTTTTGTCTGATGTGTTACATTTATTGAAGGGCCAAAACATAAAGAAGAGTGCTTCTGAGGCAGTTATATTTATGATTAATTCTAAAATTCTTTTATTCATATATATATATATGACAAGGAACTAAGATTGTTACCTACTTTTTGAGACAAGCACTATACAAACAGCAATACCTTAATGGGTGACGTTCCAGGAACTAAAAACGAAACTCCGTGTGTGTGTGTGTGTGTGTGTGTGTGTGTGTGTGTGTGTGTGTGGTAAGTGAGTGACAGACAGAGAACATGAAAGTGTGTTTTTCCTATAACAGTCTTGCCAAGAGCGGTGGTGCACACCTTTAATCCTCAGAAGGTAGAGACAAGCAGGTGTCTGTGAGTTCAAGGCCACCCAGGGCTGCATAGTGTGTGACCTTGTCTCAGGAGAGAGAGAGAGAGAGAGAGAGAGAGAGAGAGAGAGAGAGAGAGAGAGAGAGAGAGAGAGGAAGAAGTAGAAGAAGAAGAGGAGGAGGAGGAGGAGGAGGAGGAGAAGGAGGAGGAGAAAGGCAGTTTTGCTTTTGCTTCATGGTTTTCCAGATCTGAATTTCCAGGCCTAATTCTTCATAAAGAACTTTCGCCTTTGAAATCCCTCTGAAGGGCTAATCAAAACCCAGTTCTTGAAATTATTTCCTGTACTTGGGAAGTTCTGCTCCACACCTCGGAGCACACAGAAGAGGGTGTTTCTGGGAACCCTGGTGCCCGGGGACCATGTTAACAGCCACGTAGCTGATGTGTCTCTACTGACTTCCCACGGAGATGTAAAACCAGTGTGCTGTTTTCAACAGGTGTGAACTTGCTGGCTTTCCTCGTCATTGTGTTCGCCTACGTCACCATGTTCTGCTCTATCCAGAAAACAGCCCTTCAGACTGCGGAAGTGAGGAGCCACATCCGGAAGGAGGTGGCTGTTGCAAACCGCTTCTTCTTTATTGTGTTCTCAGATGCCATCTGCTGGATTCCCGTGTTTGTTGTTAAAATTCTGTCTCTTCTTAAAGTGGAGATACCAGGTCAGTCCCCTCCCTCATTCCCAGGTACACTGTGCCTTCTTAGGCCCTTTGACAAGGCCAGAGTCTGGGCGCGTCCCTTCCATGAGGTAAGGTCTCTGTGTCTATGGCGTCAACACAGCGTTACCATTGCTACCACAGTGTTTTATAATTAATATTCTAAGGCAGGCAGTGGGCAGTGGTGCAGTCCAGCGAGGAAGAATAAAAACACTGAGTGCAATGACTGTGTGTTACCCGTTTCTCTGGCCTCTTCAGCTGGTGTGTTCACGGGGAATGTCTGCTGGTGTTGGGGGCTGGGTAACTGGAATGAGTTATGGGGGGTGGGGAGGATTGGAGGAGAAGGTCTTTGTGATCTGTTGGAGATGGGGGGTCAAAGAGGAAAGGGAGACCACAGCAGGTTTCCTGCTGCAGAGGTGAAGCTGGGTGAGCTCAGGAACATAAGGAGAGGTGTAGATCCGCCTCCATCCAACTTATTAACTTGGGAGGAGCGGCCCTGGGTTAGCAGGTGGAGTCTGCTGGGGCTGGAGCCAGGGATGAGGCAACAAGGGGGCAGGGTTAAAAGGGGAAGATCTGTGGGGTCCGCAGGAGATGGTAGTAGCCGGGCAGGCAGGGAAGGAAGGCTTGCGACAGATGTTCTGCAGCAGGGCGGGAGGATGAGACTGGAGGATTGGGTCTAGGGAAAGACGAAGAGGGGAGAAGGCCTGCAGGCAGCCTTCCTGGTTTTCTGTCAGCGTGGGCTGTGGTTTATCAGAGGGTGCCTGCTGGAGTTGGAAGCCAAGATATCGCGATGGACCAGTGCGGGGAGGGAGGTTAGGAAGGGATGGTCTGTGGGATCCACAGAAAAAGCTGCGGGGGGGGGGGGGGGGGAGGCGCAACTGGTGTTCTGTTGCAGTGCTGGGGGTGAGACTAGGGGATTGAATCTTGGGGAACAAAGAGGGGGGAGCCACTTTCTGTTCTTTTTCACACTTCATTTTCTTCCCCAGGTACGATCACTTCCTGGATAGTAGTGTTTTTCCTTCCGGTAAACAGCGCCCTGAACCCCATCCTTTACACTCTCACCACCTCGTTTTTTAAGGACAAGTTGAAACAGTTGCTGCACAAGCACCGAAGGAAATCGATTTTCAAAGTCAAAAAGAAAAGTTTATCCACCTCCATTGTGTGGACCGATGACTCCTCACTTAGACTCGGAGTTCTGAACAGAATTGCCCTTGGGGACAGTATAACGAAGCCAGTCTCCCCTTAGTGGTTTTGGGTCACGGGACTTTGAGGATACTACCTGAAACAAGGTACAGTTTGGGGAAGATGGCATCAGAGACGGTTTCCATCTTGGCCAGCAGCCACCCTTTGAGCACCAGGGATACTGTGGAATGACTGTTGACCCTGCCTTCTGGTGACAGCACCATGGCCCATCCACCAAGCGAGAACTGCATGGAAAGCCTCTCCTCTTCACCTGGCCAGGCCTGGCATGCACAAGTGAATCCACGCAGGCTGGCATACGGTGGATCTCCAGGTAGCCAGCACTGCCTGCCCACCGGAGAGCGCCCATGTGTAGCCACTGCGTGGACTTTTTCTACATCGACTTGCACTGTCTGTGAGTGAGGACGACCACGACATCTTCTCCCAGCGCGGCATTCGTGACACGGAATGAACATCTTTTTTCCTTGCCCTTTCAGTAGCCAATGAACCATCAGCATCTTGTCAATGCTTCCGACAGCTTCCGCAGGCAGCTGGGATAGCAACTTCGCCCGTGGTTCTCCATACGAGTTTATCATGCCTTCTGTGACTGGACAAGCAGGAGGCATGCGGTGGGAGCCTAAAACCAGTCATCTCTTGACATCTATGAAGCATCTATTTAAGCTCAGAAACGCTGAGATTTTAGATGCTTTTCCTAATGTTACCCAGGGAGCAAAGGAAAATCGGGCACCCAAACAGTTATAATTTTCAAGTGCTTTAGAACAGTATTTCATTGTGGGTGAGTTCTCTCTTCCTTTTGCACAGAGACACGGAGAGTTAAAAGGAGACTCAAGGAGACTGCCCTGATCTGGGGGCTTTTGCTTAGTTGCACAAATTCCCATTGCCATACAAAAAGGTCAGAAACGTTGGATTAGTTTTTGTTGTTGTTGTTTTTGAAAGTGAAAAATGTATAGGAAGACTGGGACATTTTTATACTGAGAGTTTATATAAGGGGGAAGACTACTCCGAGTAAATTTATATTTTGCATTTGTCTGCATGCTGCGTTAAGCTTGACAAAGACTGTGGCTGGACTTGCTGATGTCTGAACGTGTTCCTCCAGACGAGTAACATCACACAGCGCTGTGTCTCACTGGATACATCTTACCTTTCTGTTCTTCCCGTTGCCAAAGCATGAAACAGTAAGCGAACTTCATCACCTCCCTTCCCTTCTGACTGAGACCTTTGGAAGAAACAAAACGCAAACATCTATCTTAACACACTGTGCTGAGGGCATCCTCCCTTGAAAGGAAGAGCCACACCCCCAAAAGTCTATGGGAGCCTCACATGATAGTCTAGAAAGACTAAATTTGTTTATGTAATTTTTTGTTTGTTTGTTTTTCGAGTTTCGAGACAGGGTTTCTCTGTACCTTTGGAGCCTGTCCTGGAACTGGCTCTTGTAGAACACGCTGGCCTCGAACTCACAGAGATCCACCTGCCTGTGCTTCCCAAGTGCTGGGATTAAAGGTGTGCACTACCACTACCCAGCCTGTTTATGTGATTTTCAGTTTGCTTACTAACAGGGTTGTTTACGCTCACCAGAGTCTCTAAAATACCTTTGTTTTGGTCACAGGCTATCTGGTTAGTTTTTGTCAACTTGACGCAAACCTAGCCTGGAACATGAACCAAACACAACTGGAAAGAAGGAATCCTAAGGGAAGAGTTGCCTCCCTCAGATTGGCCTGTGGGCATGTCTCTGTGATGTGTTCTTAATTGCTAACTGCTATAGGAGGACCAGTCCACTGTGGGAGGTGCCACCTGGGCAGACAGGTCTGGGTTGTATAAAAGTGTAGCTGAGCTAGTCTGGGGTGGGCGGATGGGTGGGAGCAAGGCAGCAAACATCGTCTGTCTGTGGCCTCTGCTTCAGTTCCTGCCTCCCGTTTCCAGCCTTGAGCTCCTGCCTTGGCCTCCCTCCGGTGATGAACTATAACCTGTGGGCCAAATCATCCGTCTCCTCTGCAAGCTGCTTTTGGTGGTGGTGTTTATCACAGCAACAGGTTTTAAACAAAATTACACAGATTTGAGCTTTGCCTACAGGCAGTGGCGGCAGGGTGCATTTCCCTTTTACACCCCTACCTCAGCTCCTTTCATGTGGGCCCCAGAGCATGGGAAAGCCACATGGCTTCAGTCTCTTAAAGAAATTGGAAGCACTCTCAAGGGTACTCCAGGGCCAGATTGACTCCATATTTGCCGATTTTTTTTTACCTCCTTCTATCTTCCTCAGTTTAGTAGGGAGCAGTGTGGAGAGGCACAGAGTGCACACACTAGTGAGCAGTGTGGACAGCTCCAGAGTGCACACACTAGTGAGCAGTGTGGAGAGGCACAGGGTGCACACACTAGTGGGCAGTGTGGAGAGCTACGGGATTCACACAGCAGACATGAGAACTGAGAGGCTTTTATCAGTTACACACAAGTGGAATCTTAGCTTCTAGCACCATCCAGGAATACATGTGAGGTGTGCAGACATATGTGTTACAGGCTTTCAGCACAGCATAAATAGACATATGACAGGCGTGACCTAAAGTGGTTTGGGTGAGAACGGCCCCCATAGCCCCAGATGCTTGGTTCCCAGTTACGATTTGGGAAGGATTGGGAACTGTGTCACTGGGGATAGCTCTCAGATTTCAAAAGCTCATGCGATTCCCAGTTAGTCCTCTTTTCTCCGCCTCCTGCTTCTGAGGAGCTCTTGGCTACTGCTCCAGCCTCATGTCTGCCTGCCCGCTTTCCTGCTGCCTGTCATGATGAGCACGGATGCTAACCCTGTGGAGCTGTGAGCCTCCAAGTTAAACTCTTGCTTTTGTAGGTTGCCTTGGTGTTTTACCACGGTAATATAAAAGTAATTAAGACAGGTCTCATCTCAGCACTTTGGAGACTGAGGCAGGGGGACCACATACTGACTAGCCTGAGCTATTTATTGGTCGTGGGAGAGGAGGAAGAAAGAAAAGAGGAATGGAGGGAGGGAGAGATGGAGGAGGAAAGAAGAGGGGAAGACAAAATATTGAAACAGTTTCTGCTCTTCTATCCTCTCACTAGTAAGAAAATTACCACTAAGCCCTCCCTTTGTATCTGTTTGCATATTTCTTACTAACATATGTTTTTTGTCAGACATCCCATTAATACAAATAGTATATTTAATACTGATAATGTTTAGTTCTTTTTCTGTTTTGTTTTGGTTTTGTTTTTCAAGACAGGGGTTTTCTGTGTAGCTTTGCAGCCTGTCCTTGAACTTGCTCTGTAGACCAGGCTGCCCTCGAAGTCATAGAGATCCTCCTGCCTCTGCCTCCCAACTGCTGGGATCAAAGGCGTGCGCCACAACCACCCAGCAATAATGTCTATTTCTGAGCCACAAAATGAGGCTATCCTTTTATATTAAATTTATTTATTTTAAATTTGAATCTGGTTTTATTTTATCTCTTCATTGAAAATGGGTTTTTTTTTTCATACAGTATATTCTGGTTATAGTTCCAGGCCCCAGCTCATCCCAGGTCCTTCCTCACCCACCCATATCCACACCTTTCTTGCTCTCTTTCATTAGAAAATAAACAGGTATCTAAAGAAGAAAGGAAAAAACTAATAAAATAATATAAAAAGCAAAGAACTGAAGAAAAACACAAGAAACACATATTGATGCAGAGACTCATACATCACACAGAAATCCCATGAAAACACAAAACTGGAAACCATAACATCTAAGCAAAAGACCTGTAGGATAAGAAAAAAAAATGCCCAGACAACAAACAAACAAATAAAACCCTCGAAAAATATCCTCAAGTTCATTTTGTATTGGCCACCTGCTGCTGGGAATAGGGCTTGGTCTTCAGAGTGACTCATATACCCAGTGACACTCTGTCGAAGAAAACTAATTTTTTTCTTTGTGACTGGTTATCCATCGGAGATAGCTTCTGGATTAGGGATGGGGCCTGTGTCCACCTCCACTCTGAGCACTGGGACCCCATCTGGCTTAGACCTATGCAGGTCCTGTGTGTGCAGCCACAGCCTCTAGGAGTTCCTGTGTGCACTGGTCCTGCTGTGTGTAGACGACCTTGTTTCCTTGGTGTCCTCCTCTGGCTCTTACACTTTTTCTGTCTCCTCTCACTGAACATGGAGATGTCGCGCTGGTACCTAGAGCCTTCACCCCCACTGCCTAGTGTTCAGGGTGCTGGAAAGTTCTCTGCACTCTACCAGAGAAGAAAGCTAAACACCAAGCCAACTACAAACCCTGTCACCTACAATGGTGACCAGCTGCAAGATGAGCTAGCACAATAGTGGCACAAAGGTTGTGGGAGTAACCAACCAAAATCGGGTTGGATTCGGGGCCCACACAATGAGATGGAACCCATCTCCAACATGGCCTGGATGGTCAAGAACCTGAGACTAAATGGACCAGGTACCAAAGGGGAGACCAAACGCTACAGTTCTGCTAACGGAACATAGCAGCTTGATGACTCCTAAAGATATTGGCTATACTCATAGATCAGTGTTGCTCAGCCATCTTTAGAGAAACTTCCTCCTGCAGAAGATGGGAATAAATGCAACCACCCACAGCTAGACAATGTGCAGAGAGTGGGAGAACTCGGAATACTTGGTCCTAAATGCGATAGCGCAGTCAATTTCCTCTCCTTGTGGTCAGGGAACCCTGTAGAAGAGTGAGCCATATGTGTTGGTTTGGGTTGGAAGAGGAGATAAAGAGAAAACAGCCTCGAAGTCAAGGCTTAGGCTACTGTGCCCACAACCCCGGTCTTCTAGGCCCAGTCTGTCCACAGAGAGCAACAAATTTGTAGGAACAGAAATAGAGGTTCAAGTGTGTGCCTTTGTCAGGTTTAGGGCACGCTGTTTGGCTTTGTTGTTTTAGTTCAATGGTTACTTACCAACATAAAGAACATTTTGAAAAACTGGAAATATTGATGGCAATTCTCGCAGTCTTTGTGTTTTCGGGAATTCTCTCATATGGCTGTCATCTGGCTGGCCAAACCTGGCCTCTGTGGGGTGAGATTGGAAATGGCTCCTTTCTCCTCATCCGGGCCTCAAGCCCTGTGACAGAGACTAGAATACCCACTGACCTCTCTTTCATCACCACAATGAGGGATTTGGGGAGAAAGACACCCAGGTTCTAAAGAAATGCTCCCTAAGTTTTATAAACAGGATAAAACCCGTCTACTCATGACATATCATTGGCAGGGTCTCCGAGATGTTTCCCCATAAAGCCCATACAGGAGGGATATATGAAAGTGAGCGGCCTGGAACTGAAGTCCTCTAAAACCTCCACAGCTCATTCCAATCCAAAGTGACACTACCTAAGACCCAGACGTGACAGAAGTTATGTCTAAGCTGGGCATGGTGGCGCACGCCTGAGGCAGGTGAATCTCTGTGAGTTCAAGGTCAGCCTGGTCTACACAGTGAGTGCCAGGAAAACCAAAAATACACAGAGAAACCCTGTCTTGGAGAAAAAGAAGTTACATCTAGACCACCAGAGTTCGGTTCCTAGAACCCCTGTGGTGGCTCATAACTATCTATAACTAAAGTTCCGAGGGATATGGTGTCCTCTTCTGACCTCTGTGGGTACCAGGCATGCACGTGGCAGAATGTATCTACATTCAGAAAAACATTCATACACATAAAATAAAAATAAATCTTAAACAAACCCACACAGACCTTCCAAGTGTTAAACGTGTAAACATTGACATCAAGTACAAGGATCACTCAACTATTAACTTCCTTGAGCTATCACACACTGTTTGGGGAAAATTAAAGCCATGTGTGGCACAACCTGTCATCACAGCTACCTGGGAAGCAGCGGCAGGCAGATCATGAGTTCCAGGCCAGCCTGGCAATTTGTAAGATCCTGGCCATCTTTTGTTTCTTCTTGGTACTGGGTATCAAACTCAGCTCCTTGAGCATGCTTGGTTGTCTTAGTTACTATTCTATTGCTGTGATAAAACTCCATGACCAAGACCACTTACCAAAGAAAGCGTTTAATTGGGCTTACAGTTCTGGAGGGTTAGGGCCCGTCCCTAGAGGAGAGGCACAGTGGCAGGAACAGCTGAGAGCTCATATCTTGTTCTGCAAGTAGGATGTCCAGAGGGAGAGACTCTGGGGATCGTGGGGGCTTTGGAAACCTCACAGCTCCCTCAGTGGCAAACCTCCTCCAACAAGGCCACACCTCCTAATCTTTCCCAAGCAGTTCCACCAACTAGGGACTGACCATCCAAACTGATGAGCCCCTGGGGGCATTTTCATTCAAACCATCACAATAGGATAGCACTGTACGAACAGACCTTGGTGATAGTTTGTGAGTTTCATTAACAAATTACACCATTGCTTTGTCTACTTTTCTATCCTCCCCACTGAGAGTCAGCTATACTTATGGCTGTCTGTGATGGTTCACTTGTATAATCCCAACACTTGGGAAGCTGAGGCAGGAGCATTGCTATAGGTTTGAGTCCAGCCTGGGGTTCATAAAAACATTCTGTCTCAAAAAAATCGAGATATACTGTTACATATTTAATCAACTGATGTAAGACCTATGTATATTTTTAATAGGCTAGAAATCTTTATTTTAATTTTGGGGTTTGGGGTAGTGTTTTGCTTGTTTGTTTGATTTTGTGAGACAGGATTTCTCTGTGTAGCTTTGGAGGCTGTCCTGGAAACCACTCTGAAGACCAGGCTGGCCTTGAACTCTCAGGGATTTGCCTGCCTGTGCCTCCAGAGTGCTGGGATTAAAACAGTGTGCACCACGGTTTGGGGATATTTTGGTCACATTCTGATGCTCATGACACTGACAATAAAGTTTGTTTTGAATCAGAGGGTGGAGCTAGCTGTTTGACCAAAATTAGCCATAGAGGTTTTGGAGAACCAAGGACAGATAGAGAGACACAGGAAGTAGTACGCCAGGGTTTAGAGAATCTCTCTTTCTAGGGAGGGAGGGAGGGAGGGAGGGAAGAAAGGAGAGAGAGAGAGAGAGAGAGAGAGAGAGAGAGAGAGAGAGAGAGAGAGAGAGTCACTGGTAGCTTCTCCATCACTTTTCTGATCATTCAGGTTATTACCCCGTATCTGAACCCCGAGTTTTTATTGATAAAGAATAATTAAATAAATGCTTCATGCCACTACCTTTTACCTATATTTTTTGTTTGTTTGTTTTGAGACAGGGTTCTCTGTGTATCACTGGCTGTCCTCAAACTCAAAAATATGCCTGCTTCTGCCTTAGAAGTGCTGAGATTAAAGGCATTAGCCACCACCACCTGGTGAAAATTCTTAATTTTAAAATAGAAGATCCAGTCTGGAGACCAGTGATGAAGATGCAGATAGCTATAAAGTTCCCCTCAAAGAACCCCAAGTCAGGGAGGGTCGGTCATAGCCCCAGGAGTCAGCAGTGAACAGAAGAGCAAGTTGCTGGGAGCCGAAGCCTGCAGCAGCTGAACCAATAACCGTGGAGTCGGCTATCTCTGAGACAGAGCCCTCAGATGGGTCAGCCTTAGCAGCCGTTTAGCTGTGAGTCTTGGAAAATTCTGTCGCTCCAGCAGTGTCTCCTTCCAACAGGGTGATAACACTGGTTTATCAGAGGGTCCTGAAAGTACAAAGACAGGCCTTCAAGCTCCCAGCATGTGGTCACCCCCCCCCCATATTTACACGGTACTTGGGGAACAGCCATCCCCAGGCTAAACCAGCCACCTCAGAGGATTGTGGAGGTCTCAGTGCGAGCCAGCCTAACACAGAGACTGCAAAGCTAAGTGCGGCCAGCAGAGGCCGCTAGTGGGCCAAGGGAAAGCCAGCGCACTCAGACAGACACCTATCCATTAGAGACCCGACAACCATAGAATAACCATAGAAAGAAAAACCATAGAAAGACAAGAGTCACACGTTCAGCTGACTCTCCCCCGTGCTATCGAGGCTCTGATCGTCCATAGCGTAGCTGGCTTAACTTCTTCTTTCTACTCTGCGTGACCACCGTCCCTCTTTCTACTGCAATTTCAGCAGGATTTACTCTATATCACGCTTTACATTGTTAATGTTTTCTTATTCCCCTACATACTCTTTTCTAACTCTATTTACTCATTTTGTTCATTATTGGCTAATGCTTTTTCTTCTCAGTTTCTTTTTTATTCCATTTCTCTACATGTTCTGGTATTTTAGCATTACCTCACTGGTTATTACTTTTAATTCCCCTTCTTACATTCTTTTAATTTTTAAAACCATTTTTATTATTAAAAATATTTATTCTGTTTATATGTGTAGGGAATATACACACACATATATACACATACATACACACAAACACACACATATATATATGTATACATACATATATATTTGCATGTGTCCTTGTATGTGTAAGCCATGAAACTCTAAAAGGGACAGT